TTCTGTGTAAACACTCAACAATGTGTCCTTCTGTGTAAATACTCAACTATGTGTCCTGTGTAAACACTCAACTATGTGTCCTGTGTAAACACTCAACTATGTGTCCTGTGTAAACACTCAACTATGTGTCCTGTGTAAACACTCAACTATGTGTCCTTCTGTGTAAACACTCAACAATGTGTCCTTCTGTGTAAATACTCAACTATGTGTCCTTCTGTGTAAACACTCAACAATGTGTCCTTCTGTGTAAACACTCAACTATGTGTCCTGTGTAAACACTCAACAATGTATCCTGTGTAAATACTCAACTATGTGTCCTTCTGTGTAAACACTCAACTATGTGTCCTGTGTAAATACTCAACTATGTGTCCTTCTGTGTAAACACTCAACTATGTGTCCTGTGTAAACACTCAACTATGTGTCCTTCTGTATAAACACTCAACAATTTGTCCTTCTGTGTAAACACTCAACTATGTGTCCTGTGTAAACACTCAACAATGTGTCCTTCTGTGTAAATACTCAACTATGTGTCCTTCTGTGTAAACACTCAACTATGTGTCCTGTGTAAACACTCAACTATGTGTCCTGTATAAACACTCAACAATGTGTCCTTCTGTGTAAACACTCAACTATGTGTCCTTCTGTGTAAACACTCAACAATGTGTCCTTCTGTGTAAATACTCAACTATGTGTCCTTCTGTGTAAACACTCAACAATGTGTCCTTTTGTGTAAACACTCAACAATGTGTCCTTCTGTGTAAACACTCAACTATGTGTCCTGTGTAAACACTCAACTATGTGTCCTGTGTAAACACTCAACAATGTGTCCTTCTGTGTAAACACTCAACTATGTGTCCTGTGTAAACACTCAACTATGTGTCCTTCTGTATAAACACTCAACAATGTGTCCTTCTGTGTAAACACTCACCTATTTGTCCTGTGTAAACACTCAACTATGTGTCCTGCGTAAACACTCAGCTATGTATCCTTCTGTGTAAACACTCAACAATGTGTCCTGTGTAAACACTCGACAATGTGTCCTGTGTAAACACTCAACAATGTGTCCTTCTGTGTAAACACTCAACTATTTGTCCTGTGTAAACACTCAACTATGTGTCCTGTGTAAACACTCAGCTATGTATCCTTCTGTGTAAACACTCAACAATGTGTCCTGTGTAAACACTCAACAATGTGTCCTGTGTAAACGCTCAACTATGTGTCCTTCTGTATGAACACTCAACTATGTGTCCTGTGTGAACACTCAACTATGTGTCCTGTGTAAACACTCAGCTATGTGTCCTGTGTAAACACTCAACTATGTGTCCTGTGTAAACACTCAGCTATGTATCCTTCTGTGTAAACACTCAACAATGTGTCCTGTGTAAACACTCGACAATGTGTCCTGTGTAAACACTCAACTATTTGTCCTGTGTAAACATTCAACTATGTGTCCTTCTGTATGAACACTCAACTATGTGTCCTGTGTAAACATTCAACTATGTGTCCTCCTGTGTAAACACTCAACAATGTGTCCTGTGTAAACACTCAACAATGTGTCCTTCTGTGTAAATACTCAACTATGTGTCCTTCTGTGTAAACACTCAACAATGTGTCCTGTGTAAACACTCAACAATGTGTCCTGTGTAAACACTCAACAATGTGTCCTTCTGTGTAAATACTCAACTATGTGTCCTCCTGTGTAAACACTCAACTATGTGTCCTTCTGTATAAACACTCAACTATGTGTCCTTCTGTGTAAACACTCAACAATGTGTCCTTCTGTGTAAACACTCAACAATGTGTCCTTCTGTGTAAACACTCAACAATGTGTCCTTCTGTGTAAACACTCAACAATGTGTAAACACTCAACAATGTGTCCTTCTGTGTAAACACTCAACAATGTGTCCTTCTGTGTAAACGCTCAACTATGTGTCCTTCTGTGTAAACACTCAACTATGTGTCCTTCTGTATAAACACTCAACTATGTGTCCTGTGTAAACACTCAACAATGTGTCCTTCTGTGTAAACACTCAACTATGTGTCCTGTGTAAATACTCAACTATGTGTCCTTCTGTGTAAACACTCAACTATGTGTCCTTCTGTGTAAACACTCAACTATGTGTCCTTCTGTGTAAACACTCAACTATGTGTCCTTCTGTGTAAACACTCAACAATGTGTCCTTCTGTGTAAACACTCAACTATGTGTCCTTCTGTGTAAATACTCAACTATGTGTCCTTCTGTGTAAACACTCAACAATGTGTCCTGTGTAAACACTCAACAATGTGTCCTTCTGTGTAAATACTCAACTATGTGTCCTTCTGTGTAAACACTCAACTATGTGTCCTGTGTAAACACTCAACTATGTGTCCTGTGTAAACACTCAACTATGTGTCCTTCTGTATAAACACTCAACTATGTGTCCTGTGTAAACACTCAACTATGTGTCCTTCTGTGTAAACACTCAACTATGTGTCCTGTGTAAATACTCAACTATGTGTCCTTCTGTGTAAATACTCAACTATGTGTCCTGTGTAAACACTCAACAATGTGTCCTTCTGTGTAAACACTCAACAATGTGTCCTTCTGTGTAAACACTCAACTATGTGTCCTGTGTAAACACTCAACTATGTGTCCTTCTGTATAAACACTCAACTATGTGTCCTGTGTAAACACTCAACTATGTGTCCTGTGTAAACACTCAACTATGTGTCCTTCTGTATAAACACTCAACTATGTGTCCTGTGTAAACACTCAACAATGTGTCCTTCTGTGTAAACACTCAACAATGTGTCCTTCTGTATAAACACTCAACAATGTGTCCTGTGTAAACACTCAACTATGTGTCCTTCTGTATAAACACTCAACAATGTGTCCTTCTGTGTAAACACTCAACAATGTGTCCTTCTGTGTAAACACTCAACTATGTGTCCTGTGTAAACACTCAACAATGTGTCCTTCTGTGTAAACACTCAACAATGTGTCCTTCTGTGTAAACGCTCAACTATGTGTCCTTCTGTGTAAACGCTCAACTATGTGTCCTTCTGTATAAACACTCAACTATGTGTCCTTCTGTATAAACACTCAACAATGTGTCCTGTATGAACGCTCAACAATGTGTCCTTCTGTGTAAACGCTCAACTATGTGTCCTTCTGTGTAAACACTCAACTATGTGTCCTGTGTAAACACTCAACAATGTGTCCTGTGTAAACACTCGACAATGTGTCCTGTCTAAACACTCAACTATTTGTCCTGTGTAAACATTCAACTATGTGTCCTTCTGTATGAACACTCAACTATGTGTCCTGTGTAAACACTCAACAATGTGTCCTGTGTAAACACTCGACAATGTGTCCTGTGTAAACACTCAACTATTTGTCCTGTGTAAACATTCAACTATGTGTCCTTCTGTATGAACACTCAACTATGTGTCCTGTGTAAACACTCAACAATGTGTCCTGTGTAAACACTCGACAATGTGTCCTGTGTAAACACTCAACTATTTGTCCTGTGTAAACATTCAACTATGTGTCCTTCTGTGTAAACACTCAACTATGTGTCCTTCTGTGTAAATACTCAACTATGTGTCCTTCTGTGTAAACACTCAACAATGTGTCCTGTGTAAACACTCAACAATGTGTCCTTCTGTGTAAATACTCAACTATGTGTCCTTCTGTGTAAACACTCAACAATGTGTCCTGTGTAAACACTCAACAATGTGTCCTTCTGTGTAAACGCTCAACTATGTGTCCTGTGTAAACACTCAACAATGTGTCCTGTGTAAACACTCAACTATTTGTCCTGTGTAAACACTCAACTATTTGTCCTGTGTAAACACTCAACTATGTGTTCTGTGTAAACACTCAACTATGTGTCCTTCTGTGTAAACGCTCAACTATGTGTCCTGTGTAAACACTCAACAATGTGTCCTGTGTAAACACTCAACTATTTGTCCTGTGTAAACACTCAACTATGTGTCCTGTGTAAACACTCAACTATTTGTCCTGTGTAAACACTCAACAATGTGTCCTTCTGTGTAAACACTCAACAATGTGTCCTTCTGTGTAAACGCTCAACTATGTGTCCTGTGTAAACACTCAACAATGTGTCCTGTGTAAACACTCAACTATTTGTCCTGTGTAAACACTCAACAATGTGTCCTGTGTAAACACTCAACAATGTGTCCTTCTGTGTAAACGCTCAACTATGTGTCCTGTGTAAACACTCAACAATGTGTCCTGTGTAAACACTCAACTATTTGTCCTGTGTAAACACTCAACTATGTGTCCTGTGTAAACACTCAACTATTTGTCCTGTGTAAACACTCAACAATGTGTCCTGTGTAAACACTCAACAATGTGTCCTTCTGTATAAACACTCAACTATGTGTCCTTCTGTGTAAACACTCAACAATGTGTCCTGTGTAAACACTCAACAATGTGTCCTTTTGTGTAAACACTCAACAATGTGTCCTGTGTAAACACTCAACTATGTGTCCTTTTGTGTAAACACTCAACTATGTGTCCTGTGTAAACACTCAACAATGTGTCCTTCTGTATAAACACTCAACTATGTGTCCTGTGTAAACACTCAACTATGTGTCCTTCTGTGTAAACACTCAACTATTTGTCCTGTGTAAACACTCAACTATTTGTCCTGTATAAACACTCAACTATGTGTACTGTGTAAACACTCAACAATGTGTCCTGTGTAAACACTCAACTATGTGTCCTGTATCAACACTCAACAATGTGTCCTTCTGTGTAAACACTCAACAATGTGTCCTTCTGTGTAAACACTCAACAATGTGTCCTTCTGTGTAAACACTCAACTATGTGTCCTGTGTAAACACTCAACTATGTGTCCTTCTGTGTAAACACTCAACTATGTGACTCCCATATCGTAATGCATATCTATTTTGACAGTAGACAAGTTTATTTCAGACAAGTATTTAATGCTATGAGTAGAGATCATTTGTTTGTACATTTATATCCATCTAGGGCGGCGTGCAGGTAACTCATTTAGTGTAATATTTCATATTCATTGTAGTTGCACATTGCTCTTGTAAAAGGCTTTGCTAGGTTTTTCATGAGCTGTGAGATAACTTTATTAATACCCAATTCTATATAGGATGATGGTAAACACATTACACTGTAAGGCGTGTTGATGTGGACCAGCTTTAGGTGCTTAAGCAGTCTATATATAGCTAGGCAATTTAATGTTTGTAGACTAAACTCAATATCTCTCGGGGATAACTTCAATTTGGGGCTCACTCTGCTCAGATTACAGTTCGGGCCATATTTTCATTAGACAAAGTAGTTGTTGCCCTCACCCTAGAAATAGTTATGTTAGAAACGTTTCTACAAGTACAACGCAAAGAAATGTCAAATTTCATATGCATGGTTTATGCGTGAACAGATGTGATATATGATTGACAAGGAGCCATTGTGCAGCTTTCGAAATTTATTCTAGTCTGCTAGTCCTAGACTACTAAACTGTTAAACTGTGCTAAGGACAAGTAACAATCCAGTGATGGTTGTCTCAATACCTAGTAGCATCTGTAGACTATTCTAAAGCAGTTCAACTTTGCACAAACTTGGAACAGAATAAAACATTCATTAACATTTTTATTTTGTTCAAGTAGGACTAGCGACAAGCTTTGAAAACTAGTAGAATAAGGTTTACACTAGTCCTCTGGATTAGTCTGAAACAAGACGAAGGTCTAAGGCTGTTGTATCACTGAAAATGATATCGATAGTATCGATAGATATAGCATGAAACAAATACTAATAATCATGTACTTTTGCATTTGTTTTGCTAAAAAAAAACTTAATTGTATTTGGTGATGAAGAGCTGTGACCTGCCGATGCATATAACAATAGTTATCTTGTCAATCAAAAGGTTTTAGTTCAGAAAACCTTCATAATCTTTTGTCAAGAGCCTTTAGTAATGAAACATAAAGTTAACTTAACAAGAAACGTCATACCAGTCTCCGTATCTCAGTCTCGTCTACTTGTCAACAACAGTTGGCTTTTATTGTGCACTTAGAAATGTAGTCAGCACTGGCTTCAGAAAACCTTCATGATTTTATGGCTGACAATCAGTGAATCCTTCCTTCTCTCAACAACTACCGAGCAGAGATGCTGAGTCTGGGACTGGGCATTTAAACTTGTGGACTGTTACAAGGAGTTCTGTGTGGAGCACTATAATGGGACTAAATGTCAAACTATTGAACACTACTGCAAAAGATCTATCAATATTGCAGTGGTGTTGAAGGAGCCATTACAATAGTCCAGTATCAGCTCAGAAGTTTCAATGCTTTTGTGACAGAATTCTACTCAATCTTAGTTTAAAGAGATCTTAGCTGAAAGAAACTAGGTAGCTAGCCTTCACACATTAAAGTAGAGCGGTTCTCAAAATGTTCTGAAATATGTTGTTTTGTAGCCTGACAGTCTTAAATATTTTTTTGACATATTGCACATTTAAGAAACAAGTCCTGTCCATTCATTTTCCACTATTAACATGATAAGACTCATGCACCACATACCACCATGTCTTTGACATGGTAATTGTTGAACATTGTGGTCCTGACATCTAAGCTGTCTATAAGAACAACTGGTATTGGACTCTTTGGAGGCAAGTCTAATATCAATCATTTTATTTCCGATACATATAGGACACGGGCCTTTGTGTACAACAGTTGAGTACAGACAGGTTTTAGACATTCAGTTTTGCATTTCTTACTTCATTTGCATAATTTAGATATTTTGCTAGATTTGTAATAATATATGTAACTGGTGATGACAGAAGCATATTCAATTTATGAAAGTTAGAATGACAATAGAACTTTGCTTTGAGATACAGTTGCCGTAACTTGACATATGCTGGACAAATAAGCAGGAAGTGGTACTCAGTTTCAACAGTCTAATTTACAAAGTTTGCATTTTCGTAAATTTCTTGGAATATTATAATGACATCCATTCTCAATTTACAAAGTATGACAACTGAATTTCGTGAGGGTTGTTTTCTCATTTCGTGAAAACATACTGTAGCACTTTCTTGGTAAACGGAAGTCTGGCATCTTTAGTATGTTCAGCCAATATTTCACACACCTGGTCAAAGCATATACATGAATAGGGTATCTGCCACACTGGCCCAATACAGCAATTATTTGATGCAGATCATTTTAAACCCCAAAACCGTTTGCAAGCATAAAACTGCACAATAATTAGCCACGTCTAATATCATAGATCTATGCCAATACCTCGTACCTGGTCCTGGTGAAAGATTCTATATGTACTGTTGAGTTCCTATTCTTCTTACAAAATACTTCATCTCAAAACTCCTCACAATCTCTGAGTGTTGTTGATCATGTCCATTTATCTCCAATTTCTCCAATATCTTAAATCATTGGCCTGTGTGATGTGATAGATCAAGTTTCATTACATACCTGTTGGAGATATAGAGAATCTCACCCGAGTGTCTTCTGATATCAAATATATCAACACGAGTTGATAAAAGTGGAAACACTCTGAGGCTTGCCGAGGAGATTTTCCACTTTATCAAAAAGTGTTAACTTCAAGGTAATATAGTAATATATATGTATACCACTTGATTATGCTTCAGTTTCAGCATCAGCGCCAGCACTTATGCAGCAGCCAATCAGGATGAACCCCGACTTTCTCTCCCAGCGTCTCCCTTCGCAGGCGTCAATCTTCAACTCTCCAAGTAAACTGAAGAAACGAGGACAGTTACCAAGCTTAAATAGAGGCCGTGGTCAGGGTTTTACTAAATTTATAGGGCATTTTATTTCTAGACAGCATATTACTGAGATATACATTAAGCACTTTGTACAGTACACAAGGCTCATGAGGTTTTGTGTCTTCAGACTGTTGGAGAGGTTCCTATTGCCTCATGATTGACTGTACTTGATATAACATTCCATTTGTCAAGAGCCTTTAGTAATGAAACATAAAGTTAACTTAACAAGAAACCTCATACCAGTCTCTGTATCTCAGTCTTGTCTACTTGTCAAACATCAAACAACAGTTGGCTTTTATTGTGCACTTAGAAATGTAGTCAGCACTGGCTTGTGTTTGCTTATCATCTCACTGGACTCAAGGGTCCCCAGGCATTGATAAACACAGGTTGTGTGTCATGTGTCCTTGATCCATACATGGTCCTGTTTTAGTAGTACTACAGCATATGCATTCATGCAGGTATGGTACATAAAGACTAATGTTTTAGGTTAGGTCTCCCGTGCTGTTCCAACTTCTTACATGGAGACAAAACAGCACATTTGCCATACAGACATAATGAGTTTTGTAGGTGGTGCCATTGAGCAGCAAGCCAGAAGCTAGTTTTATGTGGTGAAGACCTAACTGACCTACCCCTTGGGCATACCAGAAACATAACCCCAATTATGTTTCTAGGCTTGTCAGTCCCACATTAAGCTGACATTGCCAGATATGACTGGAATAATATTCCAAGCAGCTCACTCTGACACTGAAAAAACTCATAGTTGCTTAGCTTCATCAGGATGAGAGACAGGTATTCTACAGGACTGGGGAGTGTGATAACTGTATAGGACATGGAAGGCAAACAGTGGTTCATGTATCATGTCCACTGTACAAGGCATCACAGATTACAAAAGAGTTTAGATAGAGGAAATAGCTAAGTTTTTGTATTCAATGTGGGTACATGTAGCAGTATCCCAATCTGTATACATACATACTTCGTTGGGTCAGGAGGGTGTCCATGTAGAACAGCCTCTACCAGCTCATGTTTGCTGACTAGGATGTTTCTTGCTACAGATGATAGAGACGATTCCCCTGTTTTACTCTCCAGAGAGAAACGAACAGTTACAAACTTACAAGCACGTCTAAGTTTGCCGCGTAGTACGCCAACTTTCTCAGGTCTAGATGTGTAAATGCATGTCCTCCTTCTTCTCTGCTCTCTGTCAAGTTAATACTTGAGCTTTTTAATCCAGATCACATTCTGAAAATATTTTGCGTTCCAAATGTCAAGGTTTTAAGGAAACCTACACGCTCATGCAGAACTGGGTTACTTCCCCTAAGTATGGACACGCTCCATGCCTCACTTTAATCAGTTTGATTCCTAGCCAAAACCCCTGTAAGGAGCTTCATATGATAATTATTAATATTTGTAATTTCATAGATTAAAGATGAAATAATGCTTTTATAATTAATGGTGTTGAGAGTATATAGCAGAGACCTATTGCATGACAGCCCTGACTAATGCCTTGCATGAGGAAATGACTACTAACTGACCAGGTGACGGTATATAATGCATGCCGTGGATTAACGTCAGGTTCACCGTGGCAACAATGCAACTTAATTTAGATGATGTAAATTCTACATGTCAGTGCTTTTTGCTGCAGATATGCTGAGTTATTTTATTATGTGAGAATATCATATAAAAGAAATTACTTATGTCCAGTCAGAAACACTTGCCTCCAGTCATTGTCGGTCTGCCACAGTGAAGGACAAGTTGCACCAGGAGCACATGGTCCACTTGTTTGACATGATTAATAACCATCCTGTGACTGCTGCTGATGGAGTTATGCCACTTACAATGTACTGACAAATATGAGTAAAGATTAACTGATAAAAAATACATTGAAATATCTGTATGGGTGGCCATTCGGTCAAAAAATACAAAGTTGAAAAAAGGACAAAAGTACGCAATTAAGGTCAAATATTACAAATAAAGAACTAAATGTTACTACTAAAGGTCAAAATACAATATTAATAGTCAAATGTTACGAAAAGACGTCATAAGAAAAGAAAGAACAATGTGTACAAAAGAACGTCAGTGAGCACGAAAGGACGTTTTCAATAAAGATCGTCAGTGAGCACGAAAGGACGTTTTTGATAAAGATCGTCAGTGAGCACGAAAGGACGTTTTCAATAAAGAACGTCAGTGAGCACGAAAGGACGTTGACAATAAAGAACGCCAGATGGCGCTGCAATTTGTAAAACATTCCGGGTTTAATCGGCTTGTTCTGCCGTGTATATGATAACTGCATACCGAGGTGCACAATGTATTACATCATTCCTTGTGCACTCACCGTCTGACGTCATACATAAATGTGGATGTAAACAAGCGAAATAAATATGGTTTGAAAACAAAAACTGGTGTCATAGATGAAACTCGATTTTCTTTATTTATGGCGAGCTATTTTTCCTAACGAATGTGTAAGTTATACATATGCATACAATTCCATTTGGTATATATATTTGTTCAGATATTAGGCAGCATTTTGTTCGCACACAGTTTCCGAAAAGCTGTTAAATAAAACAAACTCTCGCACAACATTCACTTTTCAGATGAAAATGTGCGTCTGAAACAAAACTCGGCATCATAGCACCCTTGTGTTGCACCAAGCATGAACAGTTATTGGATCACTGTAGATGAATCCTAGTTTAGCGTTAAGTGAGTGTTTTTTTAAGGTTGTATACAAAATACATGTACAAATGTTAGGCAGATGTTGGATTACACAGTATACTGTATTTATGAAAAGGCCCTTAAGCGGGGACAAAGCTTAACGCAACATGTTTATACACAATGTGTACATTATACATTATAAATACATGTATATATATGTGTGACTTCAGACAGTGAGTGCACGAGGAATGACGTAATACATTGTGCACCTCGGTATGCAGTTATCATATACACGGCAGAACAAGCTGATTAAACTCGGAATGTTTTACAAATTGCAGCGCCATCTGGCGTTCTTTATTGTCAACGTCCTTTCGTGCTCACTGACATTCATTATTGAAAACGTCCTTTCGTGCTCACTGACGTTCACTATTGAAAACGTCCTTTCGTGCTCACTGACGATCTTTATTGAAAACGTCCTTTCGTGCTCACTGTCGTTCTTTCGTACACATTGTTCTTTCTTTTCTTATGACGTCTTTTCGTAACATTTGACTATTAATATTGTATTTTGACCTTTAGTAGTAACATTTAGTTCTTTATTCGTAATATTTGGCCTTAATTGCGTACTTTTGTCCTTTTTTTCAACTTTGTATTTTTTGACCAAATGGTGGCCCATATATCTGAATAGAAAGGTGTGCTGTGTGTCTTGGGTTCTGTCAGATTGTCACAGGACCCTCTCACATTCATTGTAGCAATGCGAGATGAGTCTCACCCCAGCCTCAGGCCCCGCCACAGCGTCCTGCCCTCTGTGGAAGCCAACTCCCTCAACCGCAGCCCGGCAGCCTGGGTGGCCGACCAGAACCGCAGGATGTAAGTAGCACCACCACACACACACTGTTGGAGGTGACAGCGTGGCAGCCAGTTATCTCCAGTACAGCAGAGACCTGGTCACTTTGACGCCTGCAGAAATATGTTGCCTGGTTGTGTATCTGGTTCAAATGCAGCCTGTAAGCACGCAAACTAATCTACTTCATGCATGCAACTATACATATGCTTGTTGTTACACCCAGAACTTTTCATATTGATGGTATGTTTGGGTATTTAGATGATGATGTATTCCAATAACGATGATTATGCTGCTGCTGATAATGATGATGATGATGAATTTCTTACAGCTTGGAAGGTCAAGACAGAGTGGAGGTGACAGTGCCACACATAGAAGATGACAAATCTAGAATGTGAGATTAAAACATACTGCATGCCAGCAAGGGTCGGGATGTAGTGGCTTTTGTAACACTGGTGAAAAGAATGGGCTTTTGAGAATGAATTATTGTTTTAAAGACAGTATTTTTCGATAATAATCACTTGAAATATCTTTCAAATACATTAGGCCTAAACAAATAATAAAAATTGGTCAGGCAATGGCTATTGAAAAAATAGTGTGAGTGGGCGGCTTTTTGTTGTTGTTACTGTTGTTGTTCAACCTAGTATGTTACCAAATAAACTGTTGTGCACCATCAACCTGGGAAAGGGCCTCCCAACATAAATGTATTCCTTGATGAGTAACAAATAGTTGACAACCTTATGACTACAGTGTGTGCATAATACATGCATACAATGAGCTTTAATATCATTACAATGCGTTACAACAGGTTATTGTGAGCATACCATTCTGGAAGAAATGTGTCAACAAATCTGTACTGAAGTACGCAAGTTAGTCCTATTATTACACCGTCTGGCTATAAAAGTGTCCATTGTGTGTATCTGGACTTTCATTTGTAATGCTTTATATTAGTTTTCTCCAAGATTTCATTCAATTTTGTTTAGATTAATTTCAGCAAAGTTGTGTATGATATGATTGGTTGATCACATCAACTCAGTATGAACTCGCCTTGAAACGCCTTTTTCGTTAGAAATACAAAATCTTCTGTCTTCCTATCAATTCCTATGACATTTCTTTTCAGTTATGATATTTGCCATGACATTAAGTATTTTAAAACTAAATCACCCATGGATCAGGGAGAAAATGTGTGATCAGCTGATTGCTATTTCCAGTTTATCTTTCAAGATAACAACACATGTAATCTAAATCTCTGCATATGAAACATTGTCTGGCATACAGTACACAAACACCATTGACATTGAATTTGTAAATAATCCTGTCTAGTGATGTTTTGTTGTAAATTACATGTTTTCATTGACCAAATTTGCAAATGGCAAAACAAGCAAACTCTCATTGCCGCCATGACCATAACAAGAGATGCGCAGTAAAGCAGTGCACATGTAAAGGGTGGTAACTGCGTGCTATATTGGATCACATTGTTTTTAAGTAATGTAGCATGTCACTGCTGGGGTCATGTGTTCAAGACGCAGAATATTTAAGGATTCGTTTTATTTTTTGAAAATGGAAACAAAAACAAAACATGAGGCAGACTTTGTGATGATGAGGCGGTGCCTGAGAACCAGGACTATATTTTTTTAAGCCTTATGAATTGATTTATTGATACTTTCCAATGTTTTTCGTTCAAATGTAATGATATTGAAGTTTCTCATCCATGATGGTTCACATGTAATAAAACTGTGTAATGTTTCCAGTGTAATAAAAGCTTGGGTAACTCCCTTCCAGCCCAGACAGTGACATGGAGATTGACCACACTGACCTGAGGCCAGAAGCTGTCAGTCCTGAAGCTCCACCCCCTACTACAGCAGCTCTGACAGTGACCAGCGGGCCAACGGCAGGAGGGGACGGGCAGAGTGTCAGCCCAGTCAAACCTACCACTCCTCACCCACTCAAGGTGAATGTCCCAGGTCATTCTTCTCTACCTTAAGTTAGGTTACCTCAGATGATTGTTTTCTTCTTCAGAATTTTCTAAAAGTGAGGACACTGGGGATGATTTTATACAGCCACATTAAATGTTTTTATTGATGAACAGGATGGGTGGGTATATTCTTCTGGTACATTCGGTATTTCATCAACTAATGAATGTCAATCATTAGTTAGTATTGATTTTTAATTTTAAGATATATTTTACATTTACCATAAATGTAACAAGTGAAAGGAAGCATCAGTTTAAATGATCAAATGCTTGTCAAGTCCCCAAATATATATCTTGTTTTTTTATTTACAACTGAACAATTTTCCAGCCCTTTGATGTGGATTCCAGTACATTTGACCATATATTAGAGCAGTGTATGTGTCTCTGAGATGTGACAATAATGTGAAAATAAGAAATCATCCAACTTTAGGGATAATAACTGGGGTTGTTAATTGTATTATTTGTTTGTCAGGGTGCTGAGTTGGTGGAGTCTGTGCCCGACACGGAGAAGGACCAGCTTCGTGCCACTTTCCAGCGCCTGGACACTGATATGGATGGGTGAGCTGACACTGCCATAGGAACACTTAGTTGGGCTTGGGTGGATTCAGTAAAAACCTTGTAATGATGTTAAATGCAAAAGCTGAATTTTCAAATTTATCCTATCTCACATAATGCATCTCTCTTCCTGCTTCCAACCTGGTGTGGAAACACCTCAGTACAAAGTTTCCAACTTCAAAAAACACCTCACCCCAACACATCCCTATTCCATCACCATGGTCATTACTTGTCCATCTGGGTCACGCACCAGTCAATCTGTGCGACCTGACCTCAGCTTGACCACTTAGTATACCTTCCCAAGTGAAATCAGCCGTTGTCGCACATTATTTAAGTTCTAATACTTATAGTGTGGTAACACTACACTTATTGATTATAACATTTATTGGGTTTGAAAAATATCTTTGCATAGCACACGAGTGCTATTTGTGTTCGGGTAGTCATGGCATCTCTTATCATAAGAACAAAACATCCTACATATGCAGGATTGTACGGAATTTCACTCAAATAGTTGCATGTTTAACAGTGTGAACTGACCATGTGATCGTGAATTCCGTGTCACTTCTCCATGTTGTTGTTATTGTCAGCTGCTGGGAAATCCCCATGACGTCATTGGGAAAAACCCCGCTTTTCTATCTCCAACACAAATGAGTTCTCTATCAGAGTTACAACAGGTATCGTAGCTCTGAACGACCTGCGACAGGTTTACGATAGTTTTGAAAACAAATCTTATCTTAACCTTAAGATATCTTGTCTTTGAACGTAAGTAGTTAAGATTTATCTTAGCTAAGATCATTTTGAAAATCTAGGCCCTGGACTCTACACCCGTTACCTCTCCTGTCTACAATCTTCTCAGCTACATGGGCAATAGCTACCACTGTTGCACAGACCAGTTCTTCAGAGGAAGCCCAGGTTAGGGGAGCAGTAGCCCTTATCCACGACAAATTTCAAGGAGTTGTGGACTTAAAGTCACATTATCTGGGATCTGTCACAACCTTGCGTCGCCTGGGGATTCTACGGTCCTGTCAGTGGGAGAACCACTTTAAAGTGAGGTTATACCAACAGCCTTGGTCAGCACCCTGTTTATGCTAGGAACATCCAGTCAATTACCCAGGATGTCACCAAGGAGATGCAATTACAAATATCGGTTGATCTCCTTAAGCTCCAGCACCAGCAATTCGAGGAACAACAGCAGGTTAAATAGAGACATTGTCCTGAGTTTACACCAGTCCAGCATGACTTACAGCAAGTGATGAACTCCAAAAGAGGCTCTCTTCACGGCAAAAGGCTTGGAGTTTATGGACAGAGAGGACGTAAACCCTTGACCACCAGTATCGTTCACACAAACCAGTGATGCCGGAGACTCCGCTACTAAATGACTTTCCCCAGCTTTGGTACGACTGCAGCCTTCCTCCTCCAGCCAACCCACTATTCAAGTCTCCAAACGGGCTTGGTCTTTTTGCAGAGAATTTGACCCCTTCGTCACATAGCTTCTCACAGTAGGCTACAAGCTTCCGTTGCTGGTGACACCTCCCACCACAATGATGCCTGTGCACAGAAGGTACGCTGCCGGACTTTCCTGAACCCAAAGAAAGACAGCTGCAAGATGCTTATGATTTTCAATCTGAAGATTTTCAATGAGTGGTACCTTGAGCAGCTGCTTCATTTCCGCATGATCTCTGTTGTGCTGCTGCATACGATCATTCGATCAGAGGACTTCATGGTCAGTCTGGATCTGCAAGATGCCTATCTTCACGTACCAATCCATCGGGAGCACTGACCATTACTGCGGTTTGTATTCCAAAGCCTACACTACCAGTGGAGGGTGCTACCGTTTGGAATTTCCATGGCCCTGTGGCTTTTCATCAGGATTACGAAACCTATCATGCTGTTCCTTCACTGTCGGGGGATTAAATTCTAAGCCTACTTAGACAACTGCATTCAGGCACACACAGATCAAGCTACTCTCGTGAAACACCTCAATTTCACTCAAAAGTTGCTTCGATAGTTGGGCTGGTTGAGCAACGACGTCTCAAAGTCAGAGACCTCGCCCAGGCAACGCCTGCAGTTCATAGGAGCTCTCTTCAACACCAAATTGGAGAAGACATTTGTCCTGCCAGACAGGTGGTCAAAGATACAGCTACTCATGCCATTGGCACTCAAATGGCCATTCCTGCTTTGACAGTGGAAGCAACTCTTGGGGTTGTTGACCTCGGTGCAAGCACTCACTCCGAGTGGCCAGTTTCAGCTGGGACCAATCCAGCGTTTCCTAACGCCATTCCTGCAGAGCGACGACATTGATGCCCTGGTCACCCTTCTGCTTTCATTACACCAACATCTCTGGTGGTGGCTTCAGGAGTCGAATGTCTTCAAAGGAGTCTCTTTGCAGCCATTCATGCTGATACATCTGTTCATCGACACTCATCAGATGGGTAGGGGGCCCACCTGCTGGACTACCAATTTGCCAGGCGGTGGTCTGCAGACCAAAGAGTTCCAGGCAGTGATCCTGGCAGTATCTCATTGGGTGGAACTTCATGATTTAGTCAGACAATGCTTCAGTAGTGTGGTTCATAAACAAGATGGGCTCAATCAGATCAGTGACAGTGTTGACAACGACATTCCAGTTCTTCTGCCTGATCGTTTTACTGTACATCCAGGCACGAGCCATACATATTCCAGGAGTCCTCAACATCATGGCAGATGCGCTGTCCCGATCAGATCATCCATCCCTGACTGAGTGGCAACTTCACCCAATGATATTTCTGTGGATTTAACAGTTTTATACAGACCCAGAGGTAGTCCTATTCACCACAGGGTTCAACACACAGATGCCAACCTTCGTGTCATCCAGCCCAGATCCATGGATCACAACGCGCAAGCCATTTCGTGGGAAGGCCTCAACTTTTACACCTATCCCCAAACCGGCCTTCTACCTCCGGTTCTGCAAAAGGCGGCAGCCACAATCCACCTCCGACAGTGTTCGGTTGCACCCTTGTGACCGGCAAGAAGCTGGTTCTCCGTCCTCGTAGACATTGCAGATAAAAAATACCGTCGTCTGCCACTACGAAGGGTCCTACTCCTTCAACCTCACTCAAGCTGCCTGCACCAAGCGCCAGACACACTCCATCTTTGCATATGGCTAATCTCCAAAGATCTCTCTTAGCCAAGGGTTATTCCAGGTGATTAACGAAAGCTATTACTGAGGCACAACGCACTTCCACTGAATCCATATAGAACCATGACAGAAACTTTTACCTGCTAACCTCAGCCTTGAGCAAGTAATGTCTCAGTATCTGTTTGAAGACTGTCTTCTGGGTATTTTTAATTGTTACCCTTCTTGTTTTAGCATGATTCATCCACTGCAGGCATGATTGATGGCTATAACGAAGCCTTATAAGGGATGCCGAGTTGACAACTACATCTGTCGAAGTAGTCTGTGAAGTTTTCTTGTAGAACTGATTGACGAGAGTCCCCTTCCGGATCGGTTATTCATAGCTGAATAGGATCCCTACTTCAATACTACCAGAGACCATATAATAGAGGGACGGCCCTCCCCAACAGTTTATCATAAACCATCAGCGCTACGGTCTGGCATGTAACTGATACACCCCGACACCCTGCTGTTAACCTCTCTGTACCGCTGCAGATGCGCAATGGATGCGCAGACATTCACGACTGACCATTCTCGTAACCACGTAAACAATATTATATAATATCCGGGGTAAGAGTTAATTCCCTTAGCCAAGATTTCTCCGACTACGACCAGCGACAATCCAATAAAAGGACGTCTCTTAGCGGATTACAAAGATTTTTTTATGATATCTCTCATAAGCACATGTCAGTTGGCTGCAAATTATTTGCTGAACATGTGTGTCTTCCGGGACATTTATTTCAATTTACATTCGCCGCAGCCATGGACGACTTCATTCACTTGGACGATTTCGTCTTGGACCTAGATATGCCACTTGAAGAATTCCCTCTCTTCGACTAGGGGTTGGTTTCGGATGACTCTTGGTCTAAATAGAATGACAGTGATGTTACCACTACCAAGCCGTTGGTAAATACCTCCCAAAAAGTTTCACTCAAAGAAAAAGATAGGAAATGAAAATATGACGTCTGTCCATATGCGTAAGTTTTCGAGGGCGTGTGAAGAAAAAGCCGTTCCCTTTATCAAAAGTATTTTATAACGTATTCTATTTGTTTTAAAAATCATTTAATATATCTCATTTTATGCTGCTATTGTTAACTATTATAAATAAACAAATATACCAAATCTTCTACGAACACCACAGAAAACTACGATCCGGTAAATTGCACAGGAACTCAGGAAGTGTAAATAAAACTCATCCAGAAGCAGGGAAGACACTTGTAACATATCACCATATTCCCGATGTTCACAAAATATATCTCCATATTAACTTCATATCTTAGTCCAGACTAGATTTACTTGCAAAAATGCATGATCACCGACTGCTTTTCTATTAGCCAGAAAAAAAATGACGCCATATTATTGTTTTTATTTCATGTAAATTCGCTACTATTTTATAATGCTAATAGTTCCAATGAATTAGAAATACACATTAAACAAGCGTTGTTAAATGAATTTTCGATGTGTCCGACAATGGGCTTCGAAAGAATCAAAAGTTATTGGTTAATGCCAGTTTGGGGCTAGCAGTGATAATGGGGTTTGCCGGAGCGAGGTAATTTTTATTTCAAAGGGAGGCTTCTGTTAAATTCCAAAGCAAAGAGGACGATTGTAATTTTACAATCGTTATTCGATATTACCCGATTAGATTGATATTTCAGCATACAAATAATTAGGTACAAAAACAATTCTAATATCATACAATATAAGTCACTTTGTAGAATGTTTCAAAGGATATATGCGGATGATAATCACAGACAAAATGCATGTTATGTCGTCTGCTATATGGTAATTTAACTTAAAATATGTGACGTAAAATATGGCCTTGCGCCAAAAATCATACCAAAAAAACTACCGATCGTACCTAAATAACGTTGGTACCAAGCCAAAGGGGAAATCGTGATGAATGTAAAACTATTAAATTCAGGACCGATAATAGGAACACATTCGTCTGAAAGCATGCGAAAATTAAGAGTTGTGGTGTAATTATTTCGGGAAAATTCAGATTTAGTCCCATTTCTGGAGTCAAAATCTGAAATTTCGGATCCACCCTAAATTTGTTAATGGCACTAAGCCAATTTTTATCATATCTCCTTTTTATACACCTAGGTAACCAAGGACTTTCATTGCGAATTAGAGGCCGTTATTGAAAATCAAAATCTGCACTTTTGCCGATTTTACATGTGCGCCATTTTGTTCTCTCGGACAAAGACAAAGCGTGATCACAGTCATCAAATACACTGACAACGACATGCTTTAGGGCACCAACAAATCTCAGTTGTAATGTTAACAATACATGAAATACATGAGTGTAATTCTGTATTGTGAAATATATCTTTTGCATGGGAAAAAAAGGCAACAACGATGAGTCTTCTGCTCGCTTCCGGACAGGCTGCGCAGTACAAGCCGTAGCACTGATGGTTTCGCGCATAGGCTAGAGGGCCGTCCCTCTATTATATGGTCTCTGATACTACTTAGTTGGTTTGAGAGAAAACAACTCAAAAATAAATAAATACTGATGTCCTGCGTAAACACACATGACTCATGAACCACTCGTTTCATGTTTCTAAGTCTTAGTAACACAAAGGGGTTTTTGCTTATTGTTAAGTATCCCCCATTCATCTTTCAGATCGATGCATAGTTTAGTTCCAACGTCCTGGTGTTGTCTCACGGTTGTAGTCTATACAGGCTAGGGTATCTGCGCCCCACCATCCAACAATGGGATAAATGCATGATGTGAGATGGGATAAGTTTAAAAATGTGGAAATTTTATAATAAATTGTATATTTATTAACATATCCTATCTCACACAATGTACGCCGAACCAACCATCCCTGTGTCACAGTGACTCCACCTTCTATGCTCTGAGAACGGAAATGGCTTGGGAAGGTATACTACCCCGGTAAATGGTCAAGTAAGCTGAGGTCGGGTCACTCGGGATTGATTGGTGCGTGACCCAGGTGGACAAGCAGTGACCATGGTGAAGAATTGGGATGGGTTGGGGGCAGGTGTTTTTCTGAAGTTGGAATCTTTGTTCTGAGGCATTTCCACACCAGGATCTAAGAAGGAAGCATTATGTGAGATAGATAAGTATAGAAATATACAGGATCGAAGAAGGATGCATTATGTGAGATAGATAAGTATAGAAATATACAAATTATTATAAAAAATGTAAACATTATGCTCAAGAATTCTTGTATGACATGTAAGGGAAGGGATATTTCTTGGCAAGTATAGTATCAGGGAATGTATTTTCCACCAATTCTTCTTGTGAACAATTAATAGGAAAAATAGGTGAGTGAATATTGTTTTAAGTGTATCTACAATGTCATTGAATTTCAGTGATTCGTGGATATTTTTTATATTGTTCATTCACTTAAGTGTGGTCAAAATGTATTACCTTTAACCTTTTGTACCCTACGTGAGTTTACAAATATATCAAAATCAGAACTTTCAAATTTTCTTGAAAATGTGGCTAGTACATAGCATGCTGGCAGTATGTGTATAAGTGGTCAGTTAGACTGACCTTGCTAAACTGTCACATAGTCAAGAGGTTGTGTGTCTGCTCCAGGAACCTCAACTACAACCAGCTGAAGACCCAGATTCCAGACACACTGTCCCAGACACAGGAGGTGTTTACAAAGCAGGTGTATGACATCATCCGCTCCAACAGCGATGCCTTCAACGTCGAGGACTTCATGAACATGAAGCAGCTGACTCAAGCCCTGGAGAACCTAGGGTGTGCAATAGTGGCTAGATAGCCTAAAACTGTGGCATTGCGGCTAGATACCTAAGAACTGTGTTATAGTGGCTAGGTACCCTAGAACTGTTATAGTGGTTAGATACCCTAGAACTGTTTGAGTGGCTAGATACCCTAGAACTGTTCAATATTAGAACCTAGGGCATGCAGTAGTGGCTAGATACCCTAGAACTATGTGTTCTAGTGGATAGACACCCTAGAACTGTTATAGTGGCTAGACACCCAAGAACTATGTTTGATGGCTAGATACTCTAGAACTGTTATAGTGGCAAGATACCCTAGAACTGTTCAATATTAGAACCTAGGGCATGCAGTAGTGGCTAGATACCCTAGAACTATGTGTTCTAGTGGATAGACACCCTAGAACTGTTATAGTGGATAGACACCCTAGAACTGTTATAGTGGATAGACACCCAAGAACTATGTTGTAATGGCTAGATACCCTAGAACTGTGTTATAGTGGTTAGATACCCTAGAATTGTTATAGTGGCTAGATAACCTAGAACTGTTACAGTGGCTAGATACCCTCGAACTTATAGTGGCTAGATACCCAAGAACTATGTTATAATGGCTAGATACCTTAGAACTGTGTTATAGTGGCTAGACATCCAAGAAGTATGTTGTGGTGGCTAGATACCCTAAAACTGTTATAGTTGTTAGATACCCTAGAACTGTTATAGTGGCTAGATACCCTAGAACTGTACAATAGTAGAACCTAGATGAATACCCTAGAAGTGTGTCATAGTGTCTAGATACCCAAGATCTTTGTTATAAGGGTTAGATCCTGTGATATATTTAGGGCTTGATATCCTTGGACCTTTGATTCTTCTGAGATGTGTCTCCAGGTTACTGTTTTTCAATGTCATTACTTAATTGTTCTGCAGGGGAGATGCCAAAATGGCCTTTCAAGACCTGGATACAAACAGCTTGGCAACTGCAATACGGAAATTTGTGGTGAGTGCCAGATTTCACATGCTAGAGCTGTTAATATATGTCATTGTACCCGGTCATTCCTGAAAAACAGTCAGTGTAAGTTATTAGACCAGAAGCTCTCCCTCAGGCAAGTTTGTCCAGGGTGTGTTTGCAGCAGCTGAAGTCAAGCCCCCCACCCACATCTACCTGTCACTCTTGCTGTGTTGGACATTCTGTCTGACTTCCCGCCAACAGTAGAAACCTTCTGGCAGCTTGTAGCTTATTTAAGGTCATGGTCATTAGACCATAGTTACACATAACTTTCTTATTGAGGTAGGGGCGGTCGGGTAGCCTTGTGGTTCTAGCATTCACTCGTCAATCCGAAGGCCAGGGTTGATTCCCCACATGTGTACAAATTACTACAATGCCTATTTCTGATGTCCCCTGCAGTGATATTGCTGGAATATTGCTTAAAGCGGTGTAAAACTCTCTCTCTCTCTCTTTCTCACTCACTCACTCACTCACAGATTGGTTGTTCACAGATGGTGATCCGTGTTAATATGTTTACATAACATGACTACTTATTTTCAGGGATTATTTCAACAAGTTGACCGCAATCACAGGGGTAAGATATCCACCGAGTCCCTGCAGGAGATTCTCTGTACTGGACTTGAGAAGGACGTGAAATCCGACCGCAGCATGTGGACAAGCATCACTACCACAATGGGCATTGTGAGTCAGCATGTACTATGTTGCCTGCATATCTATTTGGTGACATGAAAAGGAATCATTATTAAAACATTGCAATTCATTTTTATTAAAGACAATAAATTTCGTGGAAAAGGTCAGATGACAATTTCTCTGCACATCAGTAAAGATCATATTTTGATCAATTACAACTGCCTAATAACATTTGTTATTTTTGTCTTTTTGATAATTTCACTATGAACAATTTTTCCATTTTTCAGGACAGCTCATCGCATGTAACCAAAATCGAGTTCCTGGCCCATCTACCTTATTTCTTGTCTTGGATGCCCAAGTCTTGACAGGTTCAATCAGATGATCAGTGCCAGACACTACTTTCTGTGATAAGCTGAGAATACGGTGATATTCCATAAAAGCTGTTATGGTTTGCACATCTGCTGATCCGTGATGAAACACAACATTGTTTTTTTTTGGGGGGGGGGGAGTTTTCAATGTAAAGTCACATGCATCATCTCTCTGCCTGCATGTTGACTTGGAGTGATATACTGCTGAGTTAAAGAAAAATATGTTACCATGGTTTCTCTAATGAGTGTGGAAACTGTTGATTCTGTGCTTGCAAATAGTCGTTAAATAGCCCCCATAGGATGAGGCTTCACACGGCACAGTCATTCCCTTCTTATTCTAATCTCAATCTTTGAACAGACACACAAGGAGATGGAGTGTTCTATGGTGAAGCTTGTACTATAGAAGGGAGCACACTGCCACCACATAGCCTTGTCGGCAGGTTGTGGCAGTCTGCTGCCCATACTAACATAAGGGTACTTTGGTTTGAATTGTTTTTGCAAAAGGCTCAGGCATTGGGCCATTTGGTTCATGCCCTCTATGATCAGCGTATAAAAAAACATGTCACACAGCCCCCTATTTGTAGGGTCTTCATTTGAGAACAAACTGATGTTACTATTACAGCCTTAATTTTACTTGTCCTGTTTCTGTCAGTACAATGGATTCTATGGTCAGCTGATTAGTGTTGAACCAGTTGTAGAATATACAGCACGCACATTACCTTCATCTTTCTGGGGCGTTACCATTCCCAAGACTTACTAAGGACGACTTATTTCATCACTATTATCATTACAGAAAGTATGGTGACATTACGTTCACTGGTTATTTATGTTGATATTCCTTTGTTATGGTGATCATCTATTTATGACGTGAAAAGCTTTATACCTAGTATCTTACCAAAGAAAGTATTATTTACATCCCTTTACGGACCCCATATATTGTCTGTACACTATGTAAATACATGTAGCATGCTTGTACATGTGGTTGAGTACACATTTATATTTTGTCAGCCCTGTTTAATTACTTGTTTTGTACATGTTGTTTCGGAAATATTCCTATATTTTCAGACCTGTTATAATGACTTGTTTTGTAAATGTGGTTTAGGACATACTCGTGTTAAGTCAGACCTGTGTCTGTAGACTTCACCTGAAGCAAATAGAAACGTTTTGTTTCCCCCAAATGAACCACATGAGGTGATTGTGTATTACAGGCAAAAAGATTATAAATATCACAAAGCAATAATAAACTTAATCATTGATTTATTATTTTTAACAAGATATTCATGTAATTTTTATTCCTCCTACCATCAGTGATATTTTGGGGATAAAAATCTGTTAAACGAGTGTTATGAATTGATCTGGCCTTCCATGTTCTATGTTACATGTGTCCATTGATGAAAGATCATAATGTAGGTCTAATATTGTAGGGACGGTGGGGGAGCCTAGTGGTTAAAGCATTTGCTTGTTACATTGAAGACCCAGGTTTGATTCCCCACATGGGTACAATTTGTGAAGCCCATTTCAGGTGTCTCATGTCATGATATTGCTGGAATATTGCTAAAAGCAGTGCAAAACCATACACTTCCTGTGTTATTGTACAAATCTACACCAGTGAAGTTGTACAGCGTGGCTAGGTTCTCTCAGTTCTTACAGAAGTGCACTGCTTACATGTAGGTCATTGTAAGCTGCCATGCAGGAGTTTATACTTTTGTAAAAATGAGGGAAGCTTGATAATCATCACGCTAAACAGGTGATCAGTGATGTATGCACTGGGTATGAAATATCTAATTCCTCACAGATGTTTAGGACTCTCAAATTCCAATTATTCTGATTTCTCATGAAGACCTGTGGAGGAACTTCCACTGGTTGCTTCCCATCAGTCTACTTGGGATTGGATTGGAACCAGATGACAATTTTCTGGTTGATACTTAGTATTTTGTTTGGTTCCGTTTCTTGAATTACAGATCCATCAACCAAGTAATTCACATTCTGAAAATAAGTAGGTCTTATTTCTTTCCATCAATTCTGATAAGAAATTCCATTTATATGAAAATGTCCAGTTGAGATGATATGGAAAACTAAATAAACACCTTATTGTGTACGCCAAACTTACATATATTCCTCTGGACCATACTTCTAAGTGATCAGTTACATTTTTAGTTTGTTTGGATCAGCAATCCTGTGGTTACATGATGTCTAAAACTATCACCTCTATGATCAGAGAGGAAGGCAGGAAAGCAGGAAAGCAGACATCTCCTTTATAGCATTGATAGCCCTATCAAGTCCTACATCAAGCGGTTCATGGGGTGGCAACATTTCTACCCTTTCAAAGCAGGAGGCTGCCTCATTAGGAGACACAGCTACATCCTTTCACCTGGAATCGCCCAAGCAGCCATCATTATAACTTACCGTATTCCCATTTTAGTTGACCGTATTTCCTCCATTAGATGCTGTATATCCAGTCTCTAATTGATGCCAGGTCATATACAGTGTGTTAAAAAGAAATAGAAACTGGGCCTCTAATACTGTGATATGATTGTGATTAGTAAGGATCCTTTTTTTTTTAGCAAATGTACCCATTGGATCTGGTAGGGCAGTGAGCTGGCACTGTGCCAGCATTAAACAGAATACAGTAAGGCACTGGGACGATGGCATGTCTTCTAATAAGAGGAAATATGTATTCTCAAGTGTTTGTCATCCATTTCAAGTCTGAATCTCAATGGTGTAATTAGTGCCTTGTGTGGAACTGTGTTATTTCACTGTGTAATTAATGAGGTTAACTGTTAGAAAGGCCTATACATCTTTACATTGGACAAAGTGGAATTTCAATCACTTGAATTAACTTGCTGGAACTGCCTATTGTCCCAACTGAATACAATGACCAGAACTGAAGACTGTTTCAACAACTTAAACTTGTACCACCATGGTTGTCCAGGCCATTGTACCTGGTGTTTCTCACTTACAAACAGGAGAATATTAAGGCATTCAAAGGGGAAAACTCTCACGATGACATTATTTCTATGAGACAGGTTTGTACTTAGGCTAGGAATGTCCACGCCCACGCTGCTTGTTATTAAATAGTGGCAAGTAAGTCATTAATATTCATACCTAGTTATGTTAACACACAGAAATGTTTACCACATAAAGATTGCAACTTGTCAGATTATGAAGTATGTTTCTTACTCAGTTAATTGTTTGATGTGTTGTTACCTGTGTCTTGGACAAATAAACTATGACTTTCATCTTGTTGCTGTCTGTGTGATAGTCTCTCCACCTGTCGTCAGTACAATCAACTGTCCTGTGTTCTACTACCTACAGCACATTTCTGGTGTCCCCCGCCGTGATATTGCTAAAAGCGGCGTAAAACCATACTCACTCACTCTACACCACCCTGACACTTTACCTGGTTGTCATAATGACTGGTCAGTGCGAGGTGAAACTTCCACTAACGCTTAATTGTGTGGACAGTATAAGTGGTTCATCTTTGTAACATTTCGCCAACAGTGAGTGAGTGAGTTGGGTTTAACACCACTTTTAACAGTATTCGACAGCCATGCAGTGTCTTACTGCTTTGTGTGGGAGGAAAGTCCAAAGTTTTGTTTGTTTGTTGTTTAACGTTGCACTCAGCAATATTCCAGCTATATGTCGGCAGTCTGTAAATAATCATAGTCTACTCGATTATTTACAGACCGCCGTCATATAGCTGAAATTTTGCTGAGTGTCGAGTTAAACAACAAACAAACCATTGTTTATCCATGCCCATTGGGGTAGAATGGCCTACAAATAACCAAGTCCGCAAGTGTCACCTCGTACAACACAGCCACTAAAGTACTCACGGAAATGAAAAAAAACTGTTTTTCTCAATTTAAAAATCGACACGAAGTGTTACATAGCTGTAAATACAAAATACCAAAACAACTCGAAAAGTACTAGTCTGGATTTGCTAGTTTGATCTCAGTGAACAATACAAAATGTTCTTTACAGGAGGTAATTTGTCGGCACTTTCAACATTCAAAAATAAAACTATGTCCATTGACATAGCAGAAACAGACTATAGGCATTATGCACCTGTTCTCACCTGTCGTCAAGGTGTCATAGGTCACCTTGATCTACTTACACCTGGTTATGCTTAGTTTCACAATAGTCTGTTTTATTCACATTTATACACACTTTTACGTGTAAAAAGGCATAAAAACATTTGATACGCTGTATTTGTGCCACGGCCCAATTAGTACTAATTGAGTTGTTTGAATATTTACATATTTTGTATATTAACTGCATTTATTTAAGATCTGAGGTCGAAAAAACAGGGTTTTTTTCATTTCTGTGAGTACTTTAGTCAAGTAGACTGAGAACATATCTAGATGGACTTGTTGTTCTACATAACTGCTAGTCCCAAAATGATCAGTGGACTAGTTAGATACGACCAATGGCCCAGAATCCCCATGGGGTGCATAATAGTAACTTAATCTTTCACTTTCAGAATATATATAGTATTCAACAAAAGCAATTCAACACTGCAGCTTTTTAAACGTAAATATATTTCTGATTAAAACATTCCATTCCCCTCGTTTTTTTAACAATGACGAGAAAACACACACTGAACTACTTAGAACATTGCTCACATTAACAATGATTAATAGATACTGATGAAAACACACCAAGTCATTCATCTGGCACAACAGCAGCCTAGCATGTAGAGGTACAAGTGGATGGTTATCTGAAGGCAACTTGATTGGTCATGCAGAATATATCACAGTGAATCTGATGTCTCCACTGACCTACCTTGGTGCCGTTGTACAAAACAACCTTAGCGCTACGACTGTCTACGTCCATGTTAAGGTAGGGGAGTTATGATCACCTTAGTGCTAGACTGTCCATGTTAAGGTAGGGGAGTTATGATCACCTTAGCGCTAAGACTGTCTACGTCCATGTTAAGGTAGGGGGGTTATGATCACCTTAGTGCTAGACTGTCCATGTTAAGGTAGGGGAGTTATGATCACCTTAGCGCTATGACTGTCTACGCCCATATTAAGGTAGGGGAGTTATGATCACCTAAGCGCTACGACTGTCTACGCCCATGTTAAGGTAGGGGAGTTATGATCACCTTAGCGCTAAGACTGTCTACGTCCATGTTAAGGTAGGGGAGTTAAGATCACCTTAGTGCTAAGACTGTCCATGTTAAGGTAGGGGAGTTATGATCACCTTAGCGCTACGACTGTCTACGCCCATGTTAGTATACGACTGTCTACGCCCATATAGTATTCAACAAAAGCAATTCAACACTGCAGCTTTTTAAACGTAAATATATTTCTGATTAAAACATTCCATTCCCCTCGTTTTTTTAACAATGACGAGAAAACACACACTGAACTACTTAGAACATTGCTCACATTAACAATGATTAATAGATACTGATGAAAACACACCAAGTCATTCATCTGGCACAACAGCAGCCTAGCATGTAGAGGTACAAGTGGATGGTTATCTGAAGGCAACTTGATTGGTCATGCAGAATATATCACAGTGAATCTGATGTCTCCACTGACCTACCTTGGTGCCGTTGTACAAAACAACCTTAGCGCTACGACTGTCTACGTCCATGTTAAGGTAGGGGAGTTATGATCACCTTAGTGCTAGACTGTCCATGTTAAGGTAGGGGAGTTATGATCACCTTAGCGCTAAGACTGTCTACGTCCATGTTAAGGTAGGGGAGTTATGATCACCTTAGCGCTATGACTGTCTACGCCCATATTAAGGTAGGGGAGTTATGATCACCTAAGCGCTACGACTGTCTACGCCCATGTTAAGGTAGGGGAGTTATGATCACCTTAGCGCTAAGACTGTCTACGTCCATGTTAAGGTAGGGGAGTTAAGATCACCTTAGTGCTAAGACTGTCCATGTTAAGGTAGGGGAGTTATGATCACCTTAGCGCTACGACTGTCTACGCCCATGTTAAGGTAGGGGAGTTATGATCACCTTAGCGCTACGACTGTCTACACCCATGTTAAGGTAGGGGAGTTAAGATCACCTTAGTGCTAAGACTGTCCATGTTAAGGTAGGGGAGTTATGATCACCTTAGCGCTACGACTGTCTACGTCCATGTTTAGGTAGGGGAGTTATGATCACCTTAGCGCTACGACTGTCTACGTCCATGTTAAGGTAGGGGAGTTATGATCACCTTAGCGCTACGACTGTCTACGTCCATGTTAAGGTAGGGGAGTTATGATCACCTTAGCGCTAAGACTGTCTACGTCCATGTTAAGGTAGGGGAGTTATGGTCACCTTAGCGCTACGACTGTCTATGTCCATGTTAAGGTAGGGGAGTTATGATCACCTTAGCGCTAAGACTGTCTACGTCCATGTTAAGGTAGGGGAGTTATGATCACCTTAGCACTACGACTGATGAATGGTAAAATGTAACCAAAAAGAAACCCCGTTAGCTTATCCTGAGAAACATATGATTATAGTGGGCAGGCAGGTTTTGGTCAGGGCTGGCAAGTATTTCAGCTAGCCAGTCCTGTGGTCTGGCTGAAATTTTTGGGAGTTTCATACCCTGTTAACAGTTATATGTCTGAATAATCGAAAGTAGATGACAGAAAAAAAAGCTATTTGTGTACAGACATACACATGGCGACTCTACTGAAGTATATGTAAGTTGATGTCACCATGGTCACAGTACATGTCAGTTGATGTCACCATGGTCACAGTACATGTCAGTTGATGTCACCATGGTCACAGTACATGTTAGTTGATGTCACCATGGTCACAGTACATGTTAGTTGATATCACCATGGTCACAGTACATGTCAGTTGATGTCACCATGGTCACAGTACATGTTAGTTGATATCACCATGGTCACAGTACATGTCAGTTGATGTCACAGTACATGTCAGTTGATGTCACAGTACATGTCAGTTGATGTCACCATGGTCACAGTACATGTCAGTTGATGTCACAGTACATGTTAGTTGATATCACCATGGTCACAGTACATGTCAGTTGATGTCACAGTACATGTCAGTTGATGTCACCATGGTCACAGTACATGTCAGTTGATGTCACAGTACATGTCAGTTGATGTCACAGTACAATTGTATCCCAGCAGCCACAGGGTCCCTTTTCTCCTGTTGGGTCTCGATTACTTAACATGCTTAAAGTTATACTACGATTTTGCAAACCTTTTATTGACAACAATTCATTAAAGTATGCAAATAAAGGTTACAAACTACAGAGGGTAGTATGTTTACATTTCATTGATGACAATGCTTCATTAACACTTGAAGGCCACCAGGACTGAACCACACATAAAACTGTGTCGACAACATGCATGCACAGTGATAACTATATATAGTGCCAAAAGTTCCTATTATTTCCACCTCAAACATTTACTTTGTGGTATTTTCACACCAGTAAGGGGTTTCATAGACTGACTTAGTTTAAATCTATGGAATCTTATATTACACAATACCCTTCTCGACTCTAAAAATATAAAAAAATAATTTCCCCTATGCTGATAGAGATAGCTAGAGCTGGCTAGACTTGCTTTTGTATATGTTTCATTGTTTCTAGATTGGACTATTTATTTTGTGAAAAAAAACCATAGTAAATAAATTCCACAGTCATGGTGCAGGACTTGGGGTTTCACAGAAACCTGTGTAACAAACATTCCGCACCTGGCATGACCTGGCATGACCAGTCAAGGGGAGATAATAAAAAACAATTACTTCCCTTAGCATGCACAGTCATAACATCAAACTGCTGAACCAAACTGGTCAGACATATAACTCGGGAGGGGAAATGATATGGTCACTGTCATTTTCAGTTCTTGTCTTCCCCCTAACCTACATGTTGCATGCTGTGCCATGAAAAGTAGCACCACATAATCCAACAGAAGATAATCCTACATCATGTACATGCATGTACCACACATTCAAACATCATGTAGCAGGAAGCTGCCCATTCTAATTGTATGATCAGTCCATAGTTTATTAACCATGGTAACAAATTTCTGTGTTTATGCTCTTAAAGGAACAGGATGTTCGTAAACATTAGCTATAGCCCCCATGCTTGCTCACCTTATTTCACACGTGCACAAAATGGTGTTATTTTATAACAGGACCAGACTTTTCTCTTATCTGGAAGACCCGTGAAGATTCCGGGGTAGAATAGGTCTTCAGCAACCCATACTTGCCGTAAAAGGCGACTATGCCTGTCGTAAAAGGCGACAAACGGGATCGGGTGGTCAGGCGCACTGACTTGGTTGATACATGTCATCGATCCCAAATGCGTGGATCGATGATCATGACATTAATCACTGGATTGTCTGGTCCATTTACAGACCGCCAGCATATAGCTGGAATATTGCTGAGTGTGGCGTTAAACAACAAACCAACCAACCAAAATCGTATCTGGAAACAAATGCACTTTTAAATAAGAACAGACAGACCGTACGCAAACCTTTGGGTGCGCTTTACATATTGTTTTGCAAAGTTATATAGATATACTACCACAACTGTGACAACGAGGTGCATGACAACATAGCTTTACACATCAAAGTGCAGGTCTATTGCTAGGGCTAAGGGCTTTGATGACAGCATGTAAATAATAAATACGCAAATGAAAATAGCTTTCATGTTTTGGGATAGTTTCTCAAAGTTAAACATTTCATGATATGTGTAGATTTGTTGAAAATGAAACCCTTGTCGCTTTCCTGATACATCATCATGACTGGTCAGGTGCATCCATCTCATCATATTCTCATGAATCTGGTTTGGAAAAAAAGAAAATCTACCTTTTGGAAGAAGTATGAATTAAAATACCAAGTTAACATCAAGGATCAACTTCAACAATATTCGAGAAGGCACCATATTCAAAATACTGTATATCATGTACATATTACATATTTGATGGTATTAAACAATACTTATTGCATTGCTCATACACTGACCATGCTGTCTTCATGTCCTCTACCATGTACACAATTCTCCTAGTTCCAAACGATGTGGAGTCATGTTCACTCAACCATTCATTACTGACAACAGGTATGTACTATGATATGCATCCCCAGAGTTACTAAATGGGTTCTACATGCAGCATGGACAGCATATGTATCATGGCAGCCTGTCAACACTTCAGACATACCACTTGTACTTGTAAGCATGTAAGTCAGTGGGTACAACCATCCATATTAGTCACAGGCTCAGGTCTCTTATGGAAACTTGTCTGTGGTCAACAAACCAGTGTGGATCAGGTCTACTGTACCAGAGATCTGTTGATACAAACAATCCCAACATGAGTTTGTTGGCAAATATGGACACAATAATCACGACACGACTCATTCTGTCTGCTGTTTCAGAGACTTGTAGTTAATAGGTTTCTGACTGTGAGTAGTACAGCATGCCGAGACTAGTGCTGGTGAACCACGCTGTACACATCCACCACATCAAGAAGGACAACAGACCACGGTACCATACTGGGGTGAAAATAGTCCGCAGGTTTCCAATGGTATAAGTGAAATGAGCAGCTGTGTCTAAAATACTGTCTGTTTCATTAACTTTGGAAGATGTGGTCATCGGCCTGGTTCCTTGGTTCTTCTGAGACCAAAGTGAGGTGACTTTTTCTCCTAAGACTGTGGTCCAGGAGTAGTCTCCCAGCGTCTTGAGGAGGAAGGACATGAAAAGCATCAAGATGACTGGAGTGATGTACTGCAGAGCCACCACACACAGGTAGTAGAAAACACGGGCTACCATCTTCTGTAGATCAACATTACTGATCTTGCCAGCCTCACGCTTCATTATTTGTAACTTCAAATGTGCCAGATTCAGGTGAGATTGCATAAAGGTGGAGAACAAGGCTATCCTAGCTACAAACATACCCACAACAAGCAGTAATCTAATATTGTCAAAAGAATCATCTGGAATCAAGGCCCCTGACGATGTCCATAAGTGACCACAAAACACATTGCGAGCAATAGGCTTGATGTATGACAACACGACGATAAGCGGCAATGCATAGTTAAGATGGAGTAATGTTTGTCTCACATAATTTTCCTTTGCATATTTCATAGCATCTGAATGAAGTTTTGCAAGTCGCAGTCCAGGAAACGTCAAAAAGGCTCCAAGAATTGAACATGTAATGGCAAGGATAATCTTGAACGTGAGAAGAGATACTGGGCCAGTAGAATCCACACCTTGTTCTTTCAAGAATTGTTCTGCATTTCCTGAGAAGTTACGATATCCCTCCTCAAGTCCAAATTCCAAAATATCATCACCAATTACAAGAACTCCCATTCCTAAAACTAGGTAGAAGAAACCAAAAGTAACGCACAATATTCTCTCTCCTCCCTCTTCAGTGCGGAAATAAAGAGCTGTCTGAGAGAGTAATGTGCGAAGACAGAACCCTATAGCAAGGAGGCACCAAAGGATGCTCGCATTAAATTCGATGTGATGTGCACTCAAAGCATAATAGATCTCTGTCAGAATATACACTATGCATGCACAGAAGGAGAAGTCTAGAAGCCATTGGAACTCAGGGTAAAAGTGTAAAGGAACTAAGTCCACAGGTTCCACTTTTGTAAGTTCCAGGTGAATGTCAATGTTTCTGGGCACCATGAAAGTCTCTGTTGTGTTGTTGGTCTTTTCCTTTTTGTCATTCCTCCTCCCCTTGCTTTTACCTGCAGGTGCAATTCCAGCCTGTGTTTTAAGATCATCATCTGTCGGGTGTAGATATCTCACTAATCTGCGACACATCAGCCAGCGAGCAAAGGAATAGTAGGGGGACAGTTTCTGGAGGAAGCTGAACATGACCAGGCTGAAGACAAACTGCATACCAAGGACGGCCATCTTGATGTGCTTGCAGTTTCAGCTAATTGATTCACTCTATCTGAAAAGGAATTCAAAATCATTTTCGTTTACATATTTTAAAAATTGATGAGACCATCTGATGATTGTCTGAATAAGTTTATTCAACTATAGGCAAGACTGCAGTTTACTGGGAGCAGCTTGTAATGCTATTTCACTTAGGCCACTCTCACTTCACTGATCTCTCATGTCTCTTCAAAACCTTAGTCCTTAGGGTTGGTTTCTCACAACTCTTAGATCCCCTTAGATCCCCTTTCCAAAAAAGCTCCCATTTACAATCATTAGCATCAGGTACCTCTTGCCAATTAAACACCCCTTTACAATACTTTGGGTTAGTTGTGTGTTAGGGTATGGGTTAACAACTTTTATCAGTTTTCAAGAAGTAAATGACTAACTTGCATAAAGGGAAACAATTGGGTGCTGGGCACTTGGTAAGGAGTAATAGTGCTGTAAAGTGCTGGCAAATTAGATAACACACTAGCCTTATTTAGCATGGCACTAATTGAAATCTTAAAATATGCACAGTAAAGTTCAGTACTCCCTTCAACTAGGCGTATTGTTATGTATGTAGCAACCAGCAAGTGCAAGATGTATAACAAGTTGTAACATAAATAGGGACCCATGAATAGAAATTATGGAGAAACAAACAGATTTTCACTAATCTCTGACTATTTTACAACAAAGCTGTGCATATGACAGTACTTCAGACGAGTGAGTGAGGTTTTACATCGCTTTTAGCAATATTCCAGCAATATCATGGCGTGAGACACCAGAAATGGGCTTCACACATTGTACCAAATCGGGAATCGAATCCGGGTCTTCGGCGTGACGAGTGAACACTTTAACCACAAGGCGACCCAACCTCCCTGTACTTCAGACGAGAGAAAAATATGTCTTGACATATATCGGTATATGATCTCTGGATCATAAATCATGTAGTTTTATACAGAAGCCCATTCGTTCCATTAAATTATTTTTTAATATTGAAATTTAAAGTTGTTATCTGGCAACAGTGTCAGCTTTAAACCCAGGGAATGTGTACCTTGAATTCTCAAGATAGCATCTTGATTTTTCCAGATAGTATAAGATTATAATTTTCAACTTAATAACCCTGAAGGGGTCGTTGTCAGCACCAAGTACAACAGATATGTATCCCAGGTATGTTTCTGTATACAGAAATGAATGCTAGCCAAAATCAGAATATAGAAAGGTAGCATAGGATGGGTATGGGCAGTCTTTGGGTAAAAAAATATGAAGTTGAAATAAAGGACACAAGTACGCAATAATGGTCAAATGTTAAAAATAAAGTATTAAATATTACTAATAATGGTCAAAATACAAAACAAACAGACGCTGCTTAAAAAAAGAAGAAGTTGAAATAAAGGTCAAAAGTATGCAATAACAACAGTCAAATGTTACGGAAAGATGTCATATGAAAAGAAAGAACAATGCGTACGCAAGTGCACACGGAAGGATATCATATATGCAGTGGAACAAACTGATTCAACTCGGAATGTTTTAGAAAATTGCAGCTACATCTGGCATTCTTGTCAATGTTGTCCTTAGGCAGTTTAGTGTCTTTTTGTGCACACTGACGTTCTATAGTACTGTGTTCTTTCTTTTCATATGACGTCTTTACATAACATTTGACTATTATCGCATACTTTTGTCCTTTTTTTCAACTTTCCTTCATTTTTTTGAACGAGTACCCTTCCAGCCCTACTTTACAGCATGCAATTGTCATCAGGCGAACCAGAACTAGAGCATGGACCGGACTCGGGGTGAGGAATATGGAGTCGTCCGCCGTTTAGGGTACCGGGTACCTCTCTGTATTTTAGCTACGGTACTTTTCTGTATAAGAAGCGTACCTGGGTACTTGTAGTACCCGTGCCGACAACGACCCCTTCAGCCTTGCACAGCCATAATACGTACTGCTATAAAAGTTACCGTTTTATCAAGAGCTATCCTTGCACCTATTCTTATTACACTATCTAATATTTCTGTACTGCAAAGTGCATTTCACTTAAATCCATACCTGTCAGATGCTGGCAAGACTGTCACAAGTGACCTCACGGCTCACTCTAAGAAGCCACTTTCCTCCATGCGTCTTTTTACAGGAAGTAGTGTCTGCGCATGTTTACACATCCGGAGAAAAATTCCTGACATCGATCCGTATCTTAGCGAAATCTTTCTGGGGCAGAGGAATTTCTTGTCCAAGGCGTCTTAATATGGCCAGAATGCGTTGTCTTAAAGGTAATAATGTTCACTGAATACACTGCAGTGCAATTATTTGATTATGAGGAGTAAATGACAAGCGCTGATCAAGGTGTCGATTGAGGCCTAGCTGGCAACAGGTTCGATCGCGATTGTAGATCTTGACAACAACCCAAGACGAGAACTGAACTGTCAGTTTCCAGCACTTTACTCGCCAACATTGCTGAACTCGTTATGCCTTTTCATATGTTCTGTGAGTAGTTTACATGTAATGATTTTCATTCCATGGAATGGCTTTCAGATTACACTGATTTATGAAACAGTTGACCCTAAAAAAGTATTTATTAGTGTTGAACTGAAACCGAGCTTCGTGACTGGTCTATTGAGAAGCGACCGATGCTAGTTGAAATAGTTAGTGAAATATTGAACAGTTGAAGCTCATACTACCAATTTTGAACAAAGTATTAATCATCTTTCAGGGGGAAACACTGACAAAAATATGAACATCAGAAGTTACTGATGACTCACTGAAGATAAAGCCTTGGCATGCTTATATATATGTTGAGTTGATCCAAACTCTTGTCATTTGGTTCAGTTGTTTGGTTTATTCACCATGTTCTCCGACTTCATGTTTCTACTGTTCCTCGTGTCATGTTGTAACTCATGACAGTACACCATAACCCTGATCAGGTATTGTGTGGTGAAAGCAAAGTGTTTTTTGCTATAAAATCCTTTACTATGTATTGTGGAAAGTTCCCTTTCCTACTTGAAACTAAATATCATGTTTGGCTTGTAATGCACAAGCAGTATGTTGTCCTGTGGATGTAGTGACCATGGTGACTGCAGGTTGTACGTTTATCCCAATGTAATCACAAACATACTTCACATTATCAAATGTTTTGCTTTAAATAAGTTGATGATATTTTAAGATATCAATATACCTAAAAGTTGTCATGGTGACTTTCAGAATATTGCATGAGGTGGATAACAGGGCATTTTGTTTCTATTTGATGTTGAGAATGAAATGTTATCTCTCTGTTGACTGTTGAATTTCAAAATGTGACCACTGACTGGTTAGTAGGAAGGAATATGTAAGATGGTAGGGGATTTTTCTTTGATACTGATGTAAATGTTTGGTAAAAAATGGACTGATGTGTGATACTGTCATAGTGCTGATTTACGACAACCATAGGCTAAGGGTAAGACCTCTCTTCCTTTCTTTTTCTCACCTTTCATCTCTCGATGAAGGCCTATATATAGGCAAGGTTAGCTGACATTTAGTAAGTCATAAATAAATGTAAATAATAATTCATCAGTGACATACTTGAACATCTCGTTCATGATGGCAGACAGTCGATTTACAATACATGGGGAATAACAATTGGGATTAGCATCTTATAAAGAACGGCAATTAAGTGTTTCAAGGCATTTAGATGTCATGGATCCAGGGTACTTAGCCTTTGAAATTAAATGTTGATTCAGACAATGGTTGTCGTAAATCAGCGCTATGACAATACCATGAAAATGCCAAGAAAAACCTAAGCCCAGTTTATTTAAACTACATATTAATCAATTATTGATAAATATCAGAGAAGTAACTTTGAGCAAATATTCAAAAAGGTCTGAAAGAAATGAACATATTTCTCATCACTGGTGAGTGGTGACATATTTATGCATGGATTACTTTAGGGAAATTTAAGATGTAACAAAAACAAGCTTTCTAAACATGATATACACCAATAAGACCTTGCCCCATTAATCGATAAAACATGAATTTTGTCCAGTCAAAAACATTTGTACAGCTTCAAGTTAACCAACCGGAGATAACAAACTTGGTCAACGAAAATGTGAAATTTACAATTAAACTTCACAAGACAATCATGATGATACATGTATACCATTTCAACTGTATTTCTTGTTATGCCAGGCATTGTTTAATATGCAGAGATTAATATTGCTGAGTGTATTGTCTTGTAAAATAAGCTGGAAATAGCAATCATCTGTACACACGTTTCCTCCATACCAGTGATTCAGCTGTAAAATACCTTAGAGTATAATTTTAATTTTTTTTTAATGCAATTATTGTAAGAAATTGTATCTGAAACTATCAGGAACACTATATTCTATTATCATGTTATTTTATTTGCAGGTTTTACTATACCGTATTCGACGTAAGAAGCGCCCACAGTGATATTTGCTAATATATTGGCCAGTGAACAAACCCAAATAGCACCCTTCCAATTGATCAATGTACACAAGACTTATTTATTCGCGTATTATATGCACTCGTGTGTTATATACACCCTTAATTATGGGCAAATAAACTCTTGAAAAATATAGCTGTCGTATATAAACATTTCAGGCTGTCAGCATAAACCAAGAAATTTATCTTTTAACTATGTTTTTTTCACCAAAATAATATTCAAATAAGAGCTCCCTATTTCTAATTTTGAGAGCGCCCTAGGCGCTTATTGCGTCCGATACGGTATATATATTTATAATAATAACCATAAGCAGGCGTATGGGATAGCACTTTAGTTTGTTCCTGAATACTTTTTGTGTATAGAACAGTTTGCCATGTCACCGTTAAGGTAAGCCATTTAACTCACGAAAACCTTATTGTGACATATAATAGTCAAACTACAACAAATATGAAAATATGACTTTTAATGTTTTGACATATCACAGTTTTGAGATATGGCAACTAAGGTTCACTGTAATCTGACTGCGGTTGCTATGAACGGTGAGTTGCCAGTTGGTGCAAGCTGCTGATAAGTTCACACATAATTTCCCTAAATTCATGTTAACAATATTGAATGAAAATGTGACCAAACTTAATAAAATAGATTTCAATTGTTTGCTTTAACAAGAATAAGGATGTACATGTATAGCAAGTAGTGTATTTATTCAGTCTATAAAACATGATAGGTTGATTGACAATAACAAGTCTGTTTCGGTAAGTTATAACTATATTTCATCACTATAGTTATGTATGATATTATCAATGACACAAATTTCATATTGATCATTGTTAATAATTCTACTCATTGAGGATAATTCCGATGATCGCCGAGTTTAGCCAACCCTTGAAATCTGGTAGATTTTGAAATTTTCACATGACAAAAAGCAAGTGAAAATGTTTGGATTTGCACACCACTGTATGTTTATGTTTTATATCTGTCGCTCCTTAGAACTTGCCAAGTTTACTGTATGTACACAAACATGGATGTATGGCTTGTGAAACTGTGGGTTGTGTGTCAAGTAGAATATGCGGCTGATACACAGCTTGATAACAATAGCAGTTAACAATAATGACACCAATTAGTTTCTCCAAACTCAAGTTGAATCCAAAAGCTGCTTGATCCCCTCAGCAGGTTCAGACAGTCTGTTCAAACCCGTTAGTTATTGCACACATGCAAGGCTCGTAATGAGTTGGGGAGTATTTAACAAGATTAACAGGGGTTAAGATTATTGGGGTCCTTGAAGTTTGCCCGTGCAGTATTTAAATCTAGTAGGGAGATCCTAAATTTAAAACTTTATACATTTGAATTATGACCAGAACCCATTGACTGTCATGCTAAATTTCAAACACAGATAAAAACTTTGTCATTTCCGACTCATTTGACACATTGTACAATGCAATGACATTGAATGTTTGTCTTGCATTATGTATATTAGTATGTACACATTAGGAGGTGGCCTGTAAAGATCTTCCCATCATGTGCACATTGGTGTAAAGTCACCTTGTTTAGTCAAGTACTTGGGTGTTCTGTATGTTCACTGTATATTTTGCAAATTGCAGTACATGATTCATCACTGAAAATATTGACTACTAAGAGCATGGACGACAAGAACATGCATTGCACAGTAGTTGTCACAGTGCATATTAGTTCCTTTAGCATAATGTTGTATCATCGCACCTATCGATAGTTAATCACCTGACCTATCTATATTTAATCACCTCACCTTTCTATATTTAATCACCTCACCTATCTATACTTAATCATCTCACCTTTCTATACTTAATCACCTCACTTATCTATACTTAATCACCTCACCTTTCTATACTTAATCACCTCACCCATCTATATTTAATCACCTCACCTATCTATACTTAATCACCTCACCTATCTATACTTAATCACCTCACCTATCTATATTAAATCACCTCACCCATCTATATTTAATCACCTGAACTATCTATACTTAATCACCTCACCTTTCTATACTTAATCACCTCACCTATCCATACTTTATCACCTCACCTATCTATACTTAATCACCTTACCTATCTATATTTAATCACCTCACCTATCTATACTTAATCACCTCACCTATCTATATTTAATCACCTCACCTTTCTATGCTTAATCACCTCACCTATCTATATTTAATCACCTCACCCATCTATATTTAATCACCTCACCTATCTATACTTAATCACCTCACCTTTCTATACTTAATCACCTCACCTATCTATTTTTAATCACCTCACCCATCTATATTTAATCACCTGAACTATCTATACTTAATCACCTCACCTTTCTATACTTAATCACCTCACCTATCTATACTGAATCACCTCACCTATCTATATTTAATCACCTCACCTATCTATATTTAATCACCTCACCTTTCTATACTTAATCACCTCACCTATCTATATTTAATCACTTCACCTTTCTATGCTTAATCACCTCATCTATCTATATTTAATCACCTCTCCCATCTATATTTAATCACCTCACCTTTCTATACTTAATCACCTCACCTATCTATATTTAATCACCTCACCTATCTATATTTAATCACCTCATCTTTCTGTATTTAATCTTGTTTTATTGGCTTCTTCATCATGTAGTCTTTGTCCATCAACAAAACATGATCAAGTTGCGACAATGCAGAGCATGGGGTACACAATAGCTGTTCAATGTCAGTGGACATGCTGGATATATGCTAAACTACCAAGTTATGTTAGTATGATTATATTAGCACAGGATGAAGAGATCTTTTAATATCTTTTTAATATTTTTTTCTAGGTTTCCCATCATGGTGTACAGGTAGATATTAATAGTATTATGCACAAGTATTACAAGCAACATTAGACAGAAAGAATGGATCCAAAGAAATCCAAAGATCGACCATTTTATGAACTGCCTGAAAATGTTCAAGCCAGTTCAAGAATTATCCAGGATGCACGAACATCTCTCCGCACTGTTGTGACCAAGAGACCATTCACCCCCCGTGATGAGAAACGAACTTTATTTCCTGCATCTACAGCCCGGAACCCAGAGTCGAGGCCAGCAAGTGCTTTTAGGTAATGTATATTGTGGTCGATTCCTAGTATATGTTTCATATTCAATTATTGATATCATATCCAAAACAAAAGTCTTGGAAGTAAAAGTAACCTGAGTTATGTTGCTACTTAAATTAAGATGTTACTATGATTAAGCAGTCAAAATAATATCAACACTTTCTGCTTAAATCAGGACTCACCTTGAATTCAGTTAAGGCACAAACAAGTATGTGGAAGGATGTTTCTGGATCTGCTCAGAGACCAGAGGAGTGAAAACAAGTCATATTATTATAAACATGATATTGTTACCAGTGTAATTAATGTGGTGGCTTGGTCGAGGTGACTTGTATTTCACTGAGGAAGAGACTTAATTTTACATTATTGCATTGAATGCAATGTTAAAATACCTCTGACATTAGTAAGTAAGAACTAATAGAGTATCACGATCTTGAACTACCGTTTTTGACGTAATAAGCGCCCCGCTCTAATAAGCGCCCACAGCAATATTTGCTAATATATTGGCTAGTGAACAATCCAAATTAACCCTTCCGATTGATCAATGTACACAAGACTTATCGATTCGTGTATGATACGCACTCATGTGTTTTATGCACACTTAATTATGGGCAATTACATTCTGGAAAATATATCTGTCGTGTATAATATGTACAGACTTTTCTTTTGTTTCCTTTAAGAATTGACCTTCACTTTGTGTGAGTTCATTGGAGTATGAACCTTCATAGAGTGAGGGCCAAACTGTATGAACGTCGGAGCTTGCGACGACGTTTATACAATGTTTGGCCCTCACTCTATAAAGGTTCATACTCCAATGAACTCACACAAAGTGAAAGTCAATTCTTATAATTTTTTATTACAATTTCTTACCTCAAAGGATGTAGGCCAAGATCTAAACACAATTTTATTTAGTACGTGTGACTTCATGTTTACACTGACAGCCAAACAACAACCAGCTATATCGCGGAGTAAAATAGTTCCTCAAAAAGAGAGGTGACATGAGTGTATGGATGCACAACTTGCTCTTCAGAAACATCTTACGCAACACATGTGTTCAAATAATATCACTATTAGATGATAAAGGTCTGTAAAGAACTACCTCAATAAGTCAGTCACAATTACAGAGCGTCGTAATACATTTACATCAAGTACAAGACGTCAAAATGGCCGACACGATAAACGCGACGGGCGGATTTCCGAAGTTGTTAATGAACCTGTGGCAGTTACATGTGTTAGTCATCATTGATCAACTGACCGATTATTGAAAGGTGACGCCAAACAGACGCCAAGGTAAATTCGTAGATTGCTGGAGACGGTCAGTGTCAGCCTAGACACAGATCGAGTCGATACTGACGATAGTTTGGATGTGCATTTTTTCGTTTGTTCATTAGGATGGGCGGTAGCGAGGAAATTCGTGAACAATCATGCAGTCAAGTTCTCTTAGGTTTCTCAATGTATACTGAAATGCTGAGACCAAGATTAAAGGTTCTAAATGATCAGAAATAATGTTTATGTATGATTTCATGCTAGGGAATTCCCAGGAGTTTCCTCAGGAATGTGGAAGTTGTCCGTCAGTGTTTACGTCATTTCAAGAACACGGTCTCGTGACTTATGAACGTCAATTTCGCGGTCATGTGACCGACCTCTCGTCCAATGGAAAAGCCGTATATTGTGTAAACGTCAAATTAAAAAATTATTTCATGCTGTCAGCATAAACCACAGAATTTACAATCTTTCAACTCTGTTTTTTTTTCTCACAAAAAATATATTCTATAAGAGACCCCTATTTCTAATTTTGAGAGCGCCCTGGGCGCTTATTACATCGAATACGGTAGATAATATTTTTCCCATGATGTCTGCTAATCTTATTTTGGAAGCCAAGATAAAACCTTACAGTAAGGTCAGACATTATTAATTTATTTGTTAGGGTAATACCGGTATTATAGTGAGTGAATGATGTTTTACACGTGAATCAGCAGTATCACTGTACTGTGGCAGACATCAGATATCTCAGCAGCACTCATATCCTGAAGGAGAGTCAAATCAGATACAGAAATAACATAATTAATATGAAATCAGAAAATATGTCACAACTCTTTTTGACCTATGAAATTGTCTATGAGTTAACAATGTTTATATGATCTTAATTTAGGAGATGAACATACCGTGTTTTTAATGTAGAATAGTTTATTGAAGTGAATCTGGAGATCACTAGTGTGAACATACATACAGACATGCACTTTCGGTAAGCAATAATACAATAGTCACGTCACCTTCAAAACAAGTGGGCATTTCTGCAATATATATTCTGTGACCACGGAATCACAGAATACAGCAGGCACAGCCACACTGACTTAACCCAATTTTCTCACTCATTCTGTGTTGCAGCTTGAACTCCCGACACTTCGATGGCAGTGACTCTAGACCTGTGTCAGGTGCAAAGTTATCTCCTCTTGATCATGTAAGTTTTCTCTCGTTGAAAATAGGGGTGAAATAGTCACATGAACTTATACATATATGTGTCTGTGTAAAATGATACTGTTGTTCTGATTTACCCACCAATCCTGTTTGTTGTATACAAACATGTACTGATACCCCGTGCTGAAACATGAGACATATGACATTTACACAGGATCTGGATTTCAGATCGTTTCATTTTCTTGAACATTGACCTATTGTTATCCAAATTGTCCATACGATATATAAGACTCGTCTGGCATCAAAACACGGGGCTGTGTACTCGCGGGCAGATGACCCTGGAAGACGCTGATCACTGTGTCGAATTAATGAGACTGATTAATGAGTGATTTCAGCAATTCGTTGCAAATTAGGTGTGTCGGAGTCAGAGTGCGAGACTGTCGGATTAACGAGTGTCGGATTAAATTTAAATTCCAAATTAAAATAAGATGTATCTACTCTACTGTGGGACTACATCAAATTTCAAAACACAGTAGGTTTATCTCCTAATTAAATGATTATCATGGTTTTGATGTATTTGTTTTTACATGTTTCACAACTATGTATTATGTAGCCAGGTTCTGATACTAACAATTATTATTTTGTCTTGTCTCTGATCTATCTGCCATGCATCTAGAGATGTATCTGTGTACAATCCCTGTGCCTGTTTCCATGACAACTCAACTGTTCAGTTGGGCTAAATGGGGTTATACATGGGAACAAATCTCCACATTCTATATTTTCGATTTTGTAGTTTTCATTAGTTTTTAGGTATTTAATTATTATTGCTGCAAGATACAAATGTTGCAGGATCCAGATGATATCTGTCTGGCATGAGGCATCTTTTGCTATGGTTGGTAGGTTGGTCATTACAAGGATGACTATGAGCTGTGTAAGGGTTCTAAGGTTGCTGCACCCCCTTCTCGTATATTTCAAGCATGGGAGCCAAAGCCTCAAAATGTGCAAATAAATGTACTTGTCAAGGTATTCATGTTCATTGTATTGTATTCACATTTTCATTTGCTTTTTATTCTTCACACAAAAATGTTGGGAGAGCAGGATGTAGTGGTTTAATGTTGAATATATTGGCTGGAGGAAATTTCATGGATTTACCACCCAAGCCACTTTCACTGCCAAGATATAAATCAAAAGGGAATCCACATTATCTTTAGTGTTTCCTCCCACACCTTTCTGTCACAAAGTCACCCAACAAAGTATTAATTAACCTGGTGAACTCATACCTGACCATTTTCAGTTCGAGTCATATCGGCTTGTTCCTATATAACAGGACCAGCATGCCCAAATAGCATCATGACCACTTTGTCCCTTTTCATTCATTACTGTACACGTTTAGGAATGACAAAGTAAATCTGCATTGAGTTGAACATTGTGGATGTAGTGATGGCAGAGATTGTCCTCACGTGTAGGTTGTGCTGAATTCTAAACGTGCTCCTATTCAACTAGTGCGGAAAAGTTCTGGGTTTACCATTTAGTTTATTTAATTAAGCAAGATTTTGCACATCCTTAAATTATGTTGTGATAACTTAATGTACAATAGTTTTCTTCAAAATAGAAATGACCTTGGCATTGTGTGTGGTACAGGAGGTGTCAGATCTATGCATGGAGAACATTTCTACTCAGTAAAGTTGAAACCATGTTTTTCTCAGTGAATGATTACTGAAGCATGGTGAAAGTATTATATTGTATTTCAAACTAGAAGCATTAGAAACGTGACAAAACTTGATGGCCCATTAGGCCCAACTTGACATCGGCGTCAGTTTGACTGGCCCAGTGGGGTAAAAGTGACTTCTGTAAGTTTTCAGTCTGCTTTTAGAATAAAGCTTTGGTTTATCAATATTTGTGATTATTTTGTAGTCTCATAGAACAGATACATATTGTCTTTTATTCTTAACATGGTACTCATGTGTTGTTAGACATATGACATATAGCTATGGCTTCAAGAAATAAAAGCATGTTTCCAGGGCAGGTGTGTCGAAATCCAAATTGTAGACACTTGTCCTTGGGCAAGAAAATTGTTGAAATCTTCTGCCCTGGAGAATGTTGGAGGTGAACTTGTTGCTTGTTTCAGCACAAATAGTCCATATGTGCTACCTAATGAACTAGCAGACCCCAAGTGTCAGTGACTAAAGATAATGGTGATGATCAGCAGCCAAGGCTAACACTTACAACTTATGGTGAAAATATATGAAAGAGGAACTTTTTCAGACTCAACAAGTTTTGGCCTTTTGGACAGATGTATTATATAAGTATGATGAAATTTATACTAATTCATATATTCATACTAAATTATTATACTAAATAATTGTACTAAATTCAGGGTTCGAAATTAACTTTCATGAAGGACTACTGACATTTCCTTGTGGACTACTAGTTTTACCATTGGCAACTCTATACAGCGTTAGAAATTGGCACTAGTCCTTTAGTCCTTACCAAACTGCCCAATAGTAAAGGTATCCTAAGGACTAGTAGAAGTTGGCCCATTTTAAGGATCTGACTATATGTTATCATTATAAGGACTAGTGGACAAAAACTGTTAGTTTCTAACCCTGCTATAGCATTTCATTTTTGCGTATTAGTGAAAATCTAAATTAATTTCTAACCCTGAAATCACTCTGAATGTTATTGAATATTTTTACGAATAATGAAAAACATGTCATGCATATTGTATGGAAATCGTTAATTTCTTTTAGTATGTTTAGATCTTTAGGCATAAATGAAAACAAAGAATTTATCACAAGAAGTTATCATATGTTTAGAAATCCGGTAGGAGCCTTTGGTATTGTGTGTGTGTCTCCAACTGTTCTCCATGCATGGTTTTGGCTTGCAGTTTCCCGAAGGGTCAGATGTTCGTGCCAGGGCTGAGATTAAGGTACACACTTCATTGATTGCATTCCTTCCACTGTGCATCTTAGTATTGCATGTTGCATAGTCGATGCACGTTCCGACTGCTGCTTTCAAGTAGATATCTGACACTTTCATGTTTGTTGATTATCAGGGTTTTCCCCAGCCATGTTTAGTCATGGCAGCAGGAAAGTAGTGCCTTTCAGAGAGGTCTGCATTTTGTTTCCTTGTTTTTTTATATCTTGTGCAGCTCTTCTTTCTTACTGTAGTTAACTACAATTGATGTTAATGTATTGTAACCCATACCTGTGTGATTATGTGAAATATGCAGAAACCCAGTGCCAAGGGAAAACCCTGAATAATACCCCATTTTAATGTTTCTTAAGTTTGTTTGTTTGATTGATTGTCACCATAATAACAGTTTATCTTTGCCGTAACATCTAAATCTGAGCTGCTATTAACTGATTACAGAAATAAAATTCACTCCGCAAATCAACAGTCGCAGGAACCTGAAGCACTTTGGTAAAATCACACATGATCCTGATGTGAAGTTTGTGGCATCAAATTAGTTTTTTTCACCTATGTTTACTTATCATTAACTATTTTAGGAAGTTGTGTTGCACTATTTGTGTTATTGGTACCTCCTGTTGATATTAGGCTATATTATCCTATCCATGTTAACATTGACTGTTGTATGAATAAATCACAGTCTTGATTTATGAATGGTATTCTCAGGTGTGTCCTACAGTACACCAGCAGGCATTAAAACAGCAGAGTTACTACTCAAAATGGGTCATGGACAGAACTTGAGATTGCATTTCTTGCCATTTTCTACAGACTTTGGAATGTTATTTGGGGTCTTGCTGCAACTGGAATTTAAAAATAATTCTACTTTGAACTGCTAAATATTGCAAGAAGTCAATGCTGGATAGTTATATTTTTATGTTGAACTGTGTTGAAGGAGTGACAGCCTATCAGGCAAGGGTACAATATCTGTTGAGAAGGGAATGAGATAGGCTGGTGTTTCACTTGCAAGTGATTAAGCCAGTCACATGAACAGGCTTTTCAACATTTCAAAAAGACACATCTAGCAGAGTGTACTGTAGTTGCCTGTACCAGTAGCTTACCATCTACAAGTATATGTACATGTTTTAAATGAAGCAAAGTGTGCTGAGGTTTTGGCATGGGAAGTGGTTCAGAGGTAGTCCATGTTTGTAGACAGTATTGGGTCTTTAGTCCACAGTGTTCTAGTATTCCTGTCAAATTTCATCATGTGTGAATATCAGAGCAGACAAGTCATTTTTTAAGCTATGTGCACAATTTGGGTTAGTGTTTAGTACACAATGTAGGAAAGTGTTTTGTACACAATGTAGGATAGTGTTTTGTACACAATATAGGATATTGTTTTGTACACTATGTAGGGTTGTGTTTTGTACACAATGTAGGATAGTGTTTTATATACAATGTAGGTTAGTGTTTTGTACACAATGTAGGATAGTGTTTTGTACCCATTGTAGGGTTGTGTTTTGTACACAATGTAGGGTAGTGTTTTGTGCACAACGTAGTAGGGTTGTGTTTTGTACACAATGTTGGATCGTCTTTTGTACACAATGTAGGTTAGTGTTTTGTACACAATGTAGGATAGTGTTTTGTACACAATGTAGGGTTGTGCTTTGTACACAATGTAGGGTTGTGTTTTGTACACAATGTAAGGTTGTGTTTTGTACACAATGTAGGGTAGTGTTTTGTACACAATGTAGGTTAGTGTTTTGTACACAATGTAGGGTTGTGTTTTGTACACAATGTAAGGTTGTGTTTTGTACACAATGTAGGTTAGTGTTTTGTACACAATGTAGGGTTGTGTTTTGTACACAATGTAAGGTTGTGTTTTGTACACAATGTAGGGTAGTGTTTTGTACACAATGTAGGGTAGTGTTTTGTACACAATGTAGGGTTGTGTTTTGTACACAATGTAAGGTAGTGTTTTGTACACAATGTAGGATAGTGTTTTGTACACAATGTAGGATAGTGTTTTGTACACAATGTAGGGTTGTGTTTTGTACACAATGTAAGGTTGTGTTTTGTACACAATGTAGGGTAGTGTTTTGTACACAATGTAGGGTAGTGTTTTGTACACAATGTTTGGTTGTGTTTTGTACACAATGTAGGGGAGTGTTTGGCCTTATGTTGATTTGGTAGGAAGTAAAAACACCTAGCCCCATTCCTGAAGATTGATGTGTGGAATGTCTGCATACAGAGGGACTCCATTCACTTGTTTCATCACAACTTAGTTCATTTGAGAATCATTGATAATTTGACTGAGAACAGTAACAACAGGATTAATGGGACATCAATCCATTTTTCCAGATATGTTTTGACCTGTTACTTAAAAAATACCTCACTGCACACTTAACATCACAACTCATTGGAAGTTAACATTGAAATGGCTTCGGAGTTTTACCACACAACTCTTTGTATGTATTAAGTATTGAAACTGTTGGATCTGATAATTTGCAGTGTTTTCAGACCCCTCGGGCCCCTACAGCAGCTGAGATTGAGAACGCCATTCTGGCCCCCAAACCACCAGCTGACCCAAACAGACCACTGTCCCGGAAGGGGTCAAGACAGAAGCTGTACAATGCCACTAGTGTTGATGGGGGAGGGGAGTCTACGACCAGTCTTAGGCCACGCAGTGGGTCATCTGATGGTACTCATTACTTATTCTTGTTAATGAAGTTTTTATGAATCATAGAGGGATAGAAATAAAACCAATAGATAAAAAGCCAGATATTTTTATATCATTTTGTTGAAAAAAGTCAATATTTTACTTATCCTGCATTACTCCTTAATGCATTTACTGCTTACCTTATGACAAAGGATGAAAAAAAGAAATGCTGTTTTTTCCGACTCAAGTCTACTTTTTACAGGACCACCGCCGTCAACAGACAGATTGTGATGTCACATCCAATTCATATTACTGCTCGTCGTCCCCAAGGAAGTTTGTGTGGCGCATGGCTCCTACAACTTTGGCTTAAATTTGTGGGTAGCATTCTGCTATCACACTAATTTCGTCTGTGATGGCTAATGTATTCCTTTCATATTATTTTCACTTGCAGGCGGTGAGGATGGGGATTTCTCTGGAATTCCTCTTAGCCTAGCGCAGATGCCTGAGTGGATGGCGGGCCACCTCACGCCAGTAGCACCTTCTCCCGGAGCCGTGGTCGATAAGAGAGATACCCTCTGGTCACAGACCACATCTATGCCAGCGGATCCTATGCTCAAGGATATGGTTAAGGCGCTAGACAAGGATTATTTCCAGGACAACACTTGTGCCGTCATTTAAACCACCAAAAGTTAGGACGGACGATTTCCCTATCCATGCCTTCGCTGTAGCGGACCAGGCTTGTGCTTTAGATGATGACTTGAACTGAAGAGGATGAATGGCTCTTCGAGACCAACCACACCCACATTCCCTTTCATCAAAACTGAAATCAGGCATCTGCTAAAACCATTATCCACACTAGCATCCTCAAACCATGCAATGGAGCAGGATTTATTGGAGGCTAATTGAACCACATAGACGATTTTCAGACTGTGTTTGATTTTCAACAGAGTCAAGTCAACCAGATGAGGAACCACCTCCGAGTAGCCCTAGTGGAGATCACTGTTACGTGCAGGCTTGGTTACCTAGCGCTCTCTAAGTGCAATTCAGAATTTAAATGTAGGCTCCTCTGTCAACAATGGTCAGCTAGCCTTCTGTTCAGTGACCAAGTTACGGACACACCAAGGTCTGCAATTATGCTTGGGATAAGACCATGCTTAAGGCATTGGAGCATGTGTCTCATGGCAGGCAGGTCTGGCAACTACAGGCCGAGACACTCATCCCTCAAAGAGCAGGACCAGGATTTCGTTTGTTTGTTTGTTTGTTTGTTTGTTGTTTAATGCCACACTCAGCAATATTCCAGCTATATGACGGTGGTCTGTAAATAATCGAGTCTGGATCAGACAATCCAGTGATTGACATAATGAGCATCGATCCGTGCAAGTGGGATCAATGACATGCAACAACCAAGTCAGCGAGCCTGACCACCTGATCCCTTTTACGACAAGCATAGTCACCTTTTACGGCAAGCCTGGGTTGCTGAAGACCTATTTTACCCCAGAATCGTCACGGGTCGATTCCTTTCGTGGCAAAGAACGTGGCTGAAGGCCGCTTTCATATTCAACTGACTGCGCTACAGCTACCGTTTGAACATAGAGCTAGATCCACTGTTGACCACAGCTACCCCGCTTTGGGATTATCCAAGGAAGCAACTAAAATCCAATATAGACATCTTGTCTTGCCTCGAATAGGCAGCTGTTCGTAGACGCCTCCCTACAACAGACTTGGTACATAAACAGTCTAGAGTTGGAAGTGCTCATTCTGATCATCTCACATTGGCAGGAGCAGCTACAGTTCCCCCAAACTCAGACAATAGCACTCTCGTTCAGGTTTTTTCATCTAGTGGATTGTCTGGGACTAAACTTCATAGTCCAGCACATCCTGGCCGATGCCCTATCCGGTCAGACAAGGTGGCTCCCATGGAGTGGAAACTTCACTCAGGGGCGTTCCAACTGGTGCTTCAGCGCTTTGGGCAACCAAACATCGACCTCTTTACAACACACCAGAACCAACTAATGACGTATGTCTCCCCGCTCCCAGATCCGCAGGCTTGGGCGGTAGACGTAGCCAGCATCCCCTGGGAAGAGCTAAAAGTGTACGCTCTTCCGCCTCTTGTACCACTTCCCAGGGTGATACAAAAGATCAAAGAAACAAAGAGCCTTTGGAAGGGATGGTTCGTCGACCTCATAAGCCTTGCAGAAGACAATCCATTACCCCTCCCAGAGTGGTCAAAGCTACTCATCCACCCACACAGCAAACTACTTAACCCAACTCCAGGCAGATTTAATCTGCACGCTTGGTTTGTCTTCAAAAGGCGTTAAGCGCGAAGAGCTCTTCGGCGCCGGCAGCTAAGGCTAGTGCTTTTGGCACATTGTCCCTCTACATGGGGGTTATACAATGACACATGGTGGTCATTTGAAACTTTTTGAAAGGCAAAGAATCAAGATCCCACCACGGCATCACCTTAATTCTTATTGGGATACCTCCTACACTTGCATAGTTTTCGCCAGCCCATATCTCAGCGATGTGGCGCTCAAAGACATCGAAGGCGTTCATAGTTTTGGCCCTCTGGTAGTAACCCAGCAGGTAACCAACCCCTGATGCAAATAATGAACTCGTCCTGTCCGGAGCCAGTCTTACCCTTCACGTGCAGTACTGTCTACGACACCCGGTTGAAGGATTTTTCAATCTTTTTGTCAGCTTTGGCTTTGTAACAGAGAATATAAAGATTTTAGCTTACGCTAATCTTCCCACTTATACTCATTTTCATGTTCCGTCTGTAAATAAGATTGAACCGGCCCTACCGTCAGGCGTTTATGTTTTTTCCACCTTACAGTTTCCTTTACAACTTGTCGTTTGAAGGGTTCTTTATTATTGAGGTTTTTTTTACATCTGAAGGTATACCTACCACCATACCGCCTGATACAGATGCATTAAGGAGTAAAGCAGGATAAGTAAAAGATTTAGTAAAATCTAAATATTTATTATATTTGTATTCCTATCCTGCATTTACATCTAAGGACCCACCCCTCGTAGATTTGCCTCCCTACTATGTCTTTCAGAAATTCTTTTTGGTAGCTTGGGTGACGAGCACTAATATGGATTGGATGTGACATCACAATTTGTCACATGACAGCTGCGGTGGTCCTGTAAAAAGGGGACTTGTGTCGGAAATAGCATTTCTTTTTTTCACTCAGGACCATCGGGAGGTGCTGTCTTCTTTTTTGTAAGGTAAGCAGTAAGAGCATTAAGGAGTATTCCAGGATAAATATACATTTTTTACTTATCCTGCATTACTCCTTAATGCATTCACTGCTTACCTTGTGACAAAAAAAACCTGGGACAGCTAACCAGCGATGGTCCTTGGGTGAATGGTTCTGTTCACAATCCCACTTTTATATCCCGCCATCGCTGTCCCTGTGACCTCACGTGACCAAAGGTCAACTCTTCACATCACTGCCTGTCGCGACATAGCTAGGACGTTTCCAGCGGAGCTCTCGTTTTTGTTTTTTTATTTAGGCCTTCCATTCGTCTACCATTCTAAAATTCTTCTGCGATGGGTGATGTATACCTTTCATATTACTTTCAACATGTTGTGAAGTTGTATTTGATGTTTTGAGGCGGAAAAAGAGACGTGTCTTTTTTTCCCGCCACGTGCTATCTGTTCCCCGCCATTTTGAATTGTGTTACAATTGTTTGCTTGGTAAAGGTAGTCAATTGTTTACAATTATCGGCTAGGTATGTATAACATATTTCATATGTTGTTTTCAATACTACTAGCTTTGGCGGTTCATTGAGTTGCGTATATTCAAGCATTTATACACTATCAACTCGTTCAAATATTTTGCCAAGAAATTATCTACGGCAGTAAATTCCAGTCCCGTTTTCTTCTAGCATATTATTGCGTAACTTATGCTTGCGCGTTGTACTAATTGTCGTGGGAAAAAATCTATTCAAGATCCTCACCCACGTTGTTTGTCATGTACACAAATTTGTGCACCAAATTCTAAATGTGTTTTTTGTAAAAACCTCTCTCCAACGAGTTTCGCGAGGTATAGGCAAGTTACTCACAAACGTATTTTGCAGCAATCACGTCTTGAGAAAAGGAAAATGTCTCTATCGCTATCGCAAATGAGCGAGGGACAGGATTCGATCATTACGACGCAACCTTTATCTATGAGGGATAATAGGTCGGCCGTAACTGTCACCGCGGAGGTGCACATGCCACCGGAATCTTCTCTCCCGGAGAATGTTGGGCGTATTATAATTGCACCTAATTTGGAGAATTCTACATCTGTTACGTCTGCAGACAGTGCGCCAGCGTCTCAAGATGTGTTGTCGGGGATAGCGCCAAGCCAAGCTAGACTCAAGTCTACTCCATTGAGCATTGCGCCTCGTATGCCTGCGCCGAGCGCAGCCAAGCCCTACTACCCAAGCGCTTCTACAATGACATCAGCCCAAGGGTTATCAGCGTATGATATTACGCAACCAGCGCACGATCAGCTTAGCGCTGTACCAATGTATCCAGCGCAGGCGCCTATGCCAATTCCAAACACTAATTGGATGCCAAATTTTCTACAATCAATGTGGCAGCAGTCTATGACACAACTGTATCCTGCGCCTGCGCCTATGCCTTTGCCTACGCCTATGCCTATGTATCAGACACCTGCATCAACTACATCTACGGCACATATTTTACCGCCTACTCCAGTGACTAATGTGTATAACACTCCTATTATGAGTCATAATACAGTACATTCTTCGTTGAGTAGTACCAGTACACCTGCCCGTACTTGGACATCAACTCGTGATTCCTTGTCACCAGGCAGTTCATCTAAGCCCTCGGTCAGAGGTAATACTGCACATCGGAGTAGAAGTCGTTCACCATCAAGACGTACACATCAACATCGTTCTGATTCATCAGATGGTTCTAATGGTGAGGAGGGAGATTCCGCGAACGAATGGAATACTCACCTTAGCCTGGCTCAAGTATCTGATTGGGTAGCTGACCGCCTCATTTCAGTACCTTCCCCAGGTAGTGGGGT